GACACTGGCAGCACTCCTCCAACTTAGTGGACTTTGCATGTATGTATTTGCCCTTCAAATACAGGGGCGGCTGTTGAAAGTCCGATGTGCATGGGACTACGATACCCATCATGCATCTGTTTGTAGTTCCGGTACACTTGGGCCCCAATAGTTCCGCTCTTGTTGCAGTAGAGCCTCGTGCTAGGCTTAAGCCCCTGTTCCTATTTGTGTGTATATTTAACGTGTGCGTTCATGCAGGATAACCACACACATACATACACACATACGCTCCCCATGTAACCACCAATAAACATCTTCTATAAACATCTACCTTGCATCACTGGAGTTGCCTGTCCTTCTGATCGAGGACAACTCAGTTGAGGACAAAATCAGTAATCAGTGCATTCCAGACGCACACAGTCCCTCACAAATAGTCAATATTGGTCTCATCATCCTCAAAACCAAACATAATCATCTAAATAACCAGGTCTCTTCCTTTCTCTAGCTGGGTATCGCCTCTGGTCAGATAGATGTTCCCCATTTTCCTTTTTTGGTGCCTGTTCCTGTTCTTTATTCACCATTTGTGTCTGGTTATCACTTTGCTCTTTGACATCTACTTGTTTTTCAGTTACATCTGGACTAACAGGTGGGGTTTTAATTGTCTGTTGACCACAAAATCATCTTCATCAGCATCCAGCACATCTGTGTCCGTTTTGGATATAAACTCCACAAGTCTGTCTCTCTACTTTTCTGTTGCTGGGATAGTACACCAAATAGGCTGGACTATTCTTGTCATATCCGATAAAAATCCCTTTCTCACATCTTGTGTCCAACTTTCCTTTTTGTTGATGTTTATATGTGTAACACAATTGTCCAAACTTCTGCATCCTGGAAATATTAGGCTGCCTGCCAGTTAGCATGTAGAAAGGAGTCTGTTTAGTGCGGTTGCTGAAGCACCTATTCCTCACTACAGCTGCAGTCTGGACAGCATAAGTCCATAACATCTTAGGTAGCCCACTCTGAATGAGCATACACCTGGCCATGTCAAACAGAGTTCTCCAGTTGCGTTCAGCAGTACCATTTTGATGGGGAGAGTATGGGGCTGAGGTCTCATGCCCAATACCACTCCGGTTCATTAATGCTTGGTACCCTTTCCCAGTGTACTCTGTACCATTATCTGATCTCATACATTTCACCTGCCCATAAGGGGCCATGTCAGCTAGAAACTTCTCAGTAGCTTGTACTGTGTCACTCTTATTTTTCAGAAAGTATACAAACACTGCACTAGAATAATCGTCTGTAAAGGATAGTGCGTACCCATGACCTTCTCTGAACATAGGGTCTACAGGACCAGCTAGATCTGTGTGCACCATTTCCAGAGGTGCTTTAGCCCTGGTATCCGGCCCTGTTTCTAGTTTGAATAAACTTCCCCTGTGTGCAGATTTCACAGTGTGGTGGAGTTTTATTTCCCTCATTCTTAATCTCCATACCACTTACAACATGCTTTAATTTCATGATATCTGCAAAATTGCAGTGTCCTAGAATTTCATGCCAAGTCTGCAAATCATGACATTTGTTACACTGGTCTTCACTGTCACTTTCTGATGTGTGCAGATAGTACAGTTTGTTGTGTACATGTATGGGAAATTTAGTGCCATCTTTATGTAGCAGAACGTTCTTCTTCTCACTGAAGATCACCGTGGCTCCACACGTGGTGGCAGCTTTCACAGAGAAGATATCCTGAGGATAAGTTGGTATGTACAAGGCCCTCCTCAGCGGTGCCCCCTGCTGTCGACCAACCACACCTCTGCGTCCCCTCTGTGCTTGGCGACTCCGTTGCTCCTGGTGCCATCCGCTAGCTCCACACAATGCGTCCCGGCCTGGAAACTGGCATCGAACCTCTTGAACTTGGCGATGTCTGTGATATGTGACGTTGCACCCGCATCCACCATCAGACCTTTGCTTTTGACATCTGGCACCTGCATCTCCGAGTCACTTATCCGGAAAGCATATTCCTTGCTCTCCGCGTCGGACGCTCGCTGTGCGTTATCCCGCTGCTTCCTCCGTCTACACGTCGTATTGTTGTGTTACTTTTACAGTGACTGCACCACTGCTTGCGCGGACAGCTTTTGGCTATGTGGCCTCTGACACCACACTTATAACACTCAATGTCCGTATTGCCACTGTCCTTTGCGCTCTCTGGTGTGCGCCTTGTGCCAAATTGCGCTCTCGCCTTCATCACGTTGTCCTCAGACACAGTTGCACGCATATTTTCAATGTCCTCATAACTCCGGAGCTTTGTCTTAAACTCCGCAAAAGTCATTTTATCTTCACTCTGAGAAACATGAATGGCAAATGGTTTAAATGTCTCTGGCAGCCCCTTTAAAACCATTTCTATCAAAAGTCCGTCACTGAGCGCCTCACCTGCGCTTCGCAACGCAGTAATCAGTAGTCTCTGCTCTGATTACATACTCAGTGACATTTTCCATCGGTGACTTTTGTAGAGACGTTAATTCAGTGTACAAGTTTATCACCCTGGGCTTCCCTTTGCCTCGCGTCCATCATCCACCGCCTCGCGCATTACCAGCGACAGGCTCTTGTCATCCAGGAACTGGATAAGCTCCGCATAGGCCTCAGCATTCTTCTCGTCATCATCTTCGTCGTCAGGACCAGGTGATTGTAAAATAGTGTCCTTCAATCCTTGGAGACGGAGGTGGCCCAAAAACTTTGTCTCCCACAGCTCGTATCCTTTTTCATCGCCATTAAATACGAGTCTGCCCCAGCGGCTTGGCACAGTGTCCTTTTCTCTGTTTTTACTCATGTTTGCGGTCAATGGCTGAACTCAGGTGCACGCATTTACCGTCGCGACATTCACCTGGAGACCGCTCCTCAAACTGCGTAAAATGACTCTGGGCCCTTAACCTGTTAGCAGGGTCCCTTTTACGCAGCGTTGTCGTGAGCATTAAAACACAGTACACTTCGTATTCTCTTTTTTGTGTGGTTACCCCATTCTCCACGGGCACACACTTTAATTCACAGGTGCAGGCCATTCATAATTTTGTGCCTCACGTGATCAAGTGTTCTTACACGCCATTGGTTAAATCATAAGTCTCTATCATAATACAAATAATAAAATGAGGGCACAACACAACATGCCCTATAACCTCAGATTAAAGAACCCTGTTTAAATATTATGTTCATCTGTCATTTTTTATGTAATAGGATTATGTTTTATTTGCTGTTGTGATCCATGGTTGACTGAAGTAACTAAGTTATACATGGTTGATGTGGTGTAGTCCTTACTCCGCACAAGTGCAAAGATTGTTGGAGTTGTATAATTGATTATATTGAATTTTGATTAACCAATGAATGGATTTTAATACCTTGTACCCCAGTGATACAGAACAGTGGGTGTGTGTCTGGTAGTAATAGAAGTGATGTCAGAAAATCTAACTTTATTTAAACAACACAACTTGGTATGAGTTTTTGCACTTTGTGAACGGCCATCATCCAAAACCTGTACTGTAACATGTTTTTTTTTTTTATTTACAATCAAATATCAGCATCACAATTTATGAATGAAAGTGGGACCCCAACTGCATGGCAAAAACAGAGTTAAAATAACTTACATTCCAGAAAGAATTTGTATTTATTTATTTTTTATTTTTTAGTTGATTTCAGTTTAATCACTTGTTAGTCCTAGACTTTTACATTTTGTCTTTCTTTCTTTTTTTTTCAGCCAATGCAAAAACAAAATTGGATGTGGAGTTATAACCTACTTTTATACATCACTAACAGGAAATTTTATCTTAACCTCTTTGGTGTTGAGCTGAACATTTTTAATAATTTGATTACTTTTTTTTTTTCCTTACAGTTATCTTTCTTTTCGCTTCAGGTAATTAAAAAAAAATAATTCTGTGCTACATATTATAAAATTACATAGCTGAAATTTAGCAGAACATTGGGGCAGTGGTGACTGTTTGTAAATGTGCTTTGTAATCAGGTTAACCGCAACATATATAAACTAAATATTGAAACTAGACAGAAATATCTTAAATAAAGCTAAATACTCAAAGTATATATAAAAAAAAAATCTAAACTACTTAAATAGCACATGTAATTTTAACTCAAATAGCAGACATTCATTTTGTGTAGTGACGGTAACAAACAACAAAAGTTTGGTCATACGTAAGTCCCATTATTGTTATTTCGTATAAATAGAACTACTGTTGCTTGAGACCAATAAAGGACATGTGCGTTGGTTTAGTAGAGGCCGTTTAAAGCTCTTGTCTTCACGATGCGGGTCACGACCACAAGGGGGCATACTGTGCTCATCCTGAAACTGCTGCAGTAGACAGATTAGAAAGACAGTGGGCAGATTAATACTACATGATTACTCAAATGTGTGAATGAAACAAAACACAACTCTGGTGCTGTTTTTGATGAGGAAGCATTATAACATTTTCTTAAAAGTCACTACCTAAACCTCAGCATCTGTGGCCAATCATGAATCAGTGCTTGTGTAGCCTCTGCAGCTCAGTGAAGTCTAGAGGCTCTGAGCTTTCACATGAGGCATGGCCTGTCCTGATATATTTTGGTCTCAGCTGCAACTGAAAGAGCCAAAAGAGAGTATTAACAATTGACATACTTGACCTTGAAGGACCAAATATGGACTGTGGGTTGCAATGTGGGAAAGGCTAAAATGTTTTATTGTTTTTAATGAAAACCTCTCAAGCTCAAGATAGACCTCCTGTATTTTTCCACTTGAAAATATTTTTGTGTTGATGCCCAGTCAGCAAGACCATGTCAAAATGCACCAGTCTTTGATAAGCAATTTGAATGTCCTATAAATTTTTGTGGTTTCTCTACACAGCACTTTTAACATGAATGTGGGTCCTTGATCAGTTGAGTTTCTATGCTTATCTCTCCTTTCCTGTCATACCACCTCTCTGCCTCCCAAAACAACCATTTCCAAGCATTACACGCCCACTACATTTACTCCCATTGTTAATAAAAGCAGCCTGTGCGACCCTCCATAGCTTTATCTTCAGACACTTTTAGACAGATTACAGCTTTTTGTTGCCAAGCTGTTTCAGAAATGAGTGTGGCAGTATTTTTGACAATTGCACTTCTGACCATTTACAACGCATATTTTGGAGGTAAATTATTTTATATATTTTATGAGACAGTCTATTATTACTTGTAGAACTGAGTAAGAGAGACTTGACACTGAGCTGTGAGTTGTGAGAGTAGCTCTTATTATTTCTATTAACTACCAGGCAAATAAACTGCCTTGAAAATCGACTCTATACAAAACCTGTAAATTAACAATAGTATTATTCCTCCACCTCTACTAAATATTATAGGACTATAGCAGTATGATGTAATATACTTTTAGATTTCTTTCTTTTTTTTATTAAATGTAGTTTTATGAAAATACCATATTATTATATAAATAAGGTTTAATTATTTATTTTGTATAACATTCACAGTATTTTGCAGTAATAGATTTGTTATTGTTTCGTTTTATTTTTCTTTACAGAGAGCCTGTTGGAAGACCCTGTCCCGTTCCCACCAGCCTATCCCACAGTTGAGAATATTCTGGCTCTTTGTTACAATGGCAACCGTCGCCATAGATACCCCGCTCACACCATCCCATCATCCTGGAGCAGCCACTTCCGTCGCCGGGCAACAGCCATAACCCGTCTAGAGTCCTGGTACCAATTTTGCTGCAGTGGACCAATGATACAGCAGCCTGGTGTACTCCTCTGTTGTACACAACAAGCAGTAAGTTAAACTACAGACAATTTGTTTACAACAGTGGCTCCCATGATCTGAAAACAACCAAGACAATACACTGACTTAAAAAAAACTTCATTTGTAGACATGATCAAAAACATGGTGTAAATGTAACTACTGATCAAAAGGTACTGCTTAAAGATTAAATAAAAGCAATAGGGGACACTTAATATGCTCTCCAATTTGTATGAAATTAAATTTAATCAAATTAACTAATTAACAAGTTAACTATTTACACAGGTCAGAATATTTTATATTGAATGTATGCTTGAGTATTGTTATTATTGTTGTTTAGATTTTAAAGTGCCTATATTACACTATTTTCTGAACTATAATGTTGTTTCCTCATCACAAACATACCTGGAGTTGTGTTTTGTTTCATTCACACATGTTTAACACACAAAACCTTTATATTTAGGCTGTGTTCTACTAAGATTTTCTCTGATTATCTCTACTGAACTAAAGGTAAAAGTGAGCTGTAAAAGTTGATAACTACTGCTTCATGGCATGACAAAGTGGAACAAAGCATTATGAGCTTTGGAGATGTAGACAGACTAATAATAAAGAGTTGCTCAGATGTGTGTGAATGAAACAAAACACAACTCCAGATATCTTTTAAATTAGATACCAGCATTTTAACATGGCTTAGAGGTCTCAATTGTAGGACCTTCATTTGTCATAGTTTTCTTTCTTTTGTCTTAGTGGATGCAAGCTCTTTCTCAGTTCTGTGTGGAGGAGTTTTCAACGATGACTGCTGCTTATGACTGCTGCAGACTACAGGGCGCCGCTCGGTGGATATGCTTCTCCACAGAGCCGTTCAATCCGAGCTATAGCCCAACATTGGAACACATCACACAATTCACACCCAACGCTGAAGTCTTTGTCTTTAAAAACAATGAATGTTAATAATAGTGAGAAATTTATGTTTAAACTTTTATGGATACTCTGAATACATTTTCTCACTAGCAGTCACTTTATCTTTGATTACGAGAAATCTGTGCAGTTTTTAGACTTAACATTTTGAATTCATAATGTAATGATGAAGAAAAAAAAATTATATTATATCCAATGTATGTTTTTGATATAATAAATAAAAATGTTGGTTCTGATTACTGATATATTACAATATTAAACTTTTTTTTTTTCAAAATCTTAATTTTGCATCAGGGATATTTATCTTGTCTTTGTAAAATTATTAAAAATTATTGTTCATCTACTGTAACAGAGATCATCTCTTACATCTACTGTAATAGATGATTTACAAGTTGATATATAATATGACAAATTTTCCATGCAGGGTGACCAGATGTCCCTGTTTACTCGGGACAGTCCCAGTTCAGAGCCCTGTGTCCCCTGTGCCGGCAGATTCTCCAAAACCATTGATTTGTCCCAGTTTTATACAAGAAATGTCCCAGTTGTCCCTATTTTCGATCAACCTGATCCCTGCCAACAGTAAAGAGAGTCACATATTGTGATTTGTTTAACTAAAATACAGTAAACGGGGCTTGAAAATGACCATAAGGCAAAAAAAACAAACAAAAAAAACAAAAAACCCCAAAACATCAACAGTAAGAAATGATACGTGCTCTTTTCACAATTTTATTTATACAAAACCATCCCAACCCGGGTGTGTCCCAGTTTTGACATTTTAAAATCTGGTCATCCTATTTCTATGGTAAGGTCGCTATGTGCGCTTATCCCATATAGTCCTATTTAATTTGTTTAAATATATTTATTTTGGTTAGCTTTATGGAATTGTAAAGACTGGACAGGTAAAGAGATCATAAATAACCATTAAGAAACGTTTTAATTTACAAATAATTCCCATACTTCCGGTGCCAGGATTAAACCGGAAGTGAGAGTGATAACGGGATTGCCTTTACTTCCGGAGTGTTTCCGTGTTTATTAGTTTAGTTTGGGGACCAACTTTTTAGGAGAGCGAAGTTTTTTTCAGTATTTGGAAGCGGATATTTTCTCCAACGTTTCGACTAGTAAGTCAATCACGCTGGTTTTTCAAATACTTATTCATATGATTGTTGAGCATGTGCCTTATTTTAAATGTAAAAGTTGGCGAACCGGTTAGCTGTTTTTCTGTTGTGTGAAGAAGTATCGCCCAGTGGCTTTCATAACAGCGACAATACAACGCTGACACACACACACAAAACTAACAGATCATTTTAAAATCTCATTACACGTAGCCTGGTGCTGTTTTTACATATTTGGTTAACTAAGAGCCTAGGATTACCTCTTGATACGTAGTTGTTTGCAATACATTAACTAGTTATGGCATGAAGTCACCCGTAATGTTGTTTTGTTGTTAGTTTATCTAACATTCCTTCTGGACTCTAAGGTTAAACCGATTAAAAAGCCCCTGGTGTGGTGTTGAATAAGCACTTGCACTATTAACAATTAACTAAAACAATACATCTGATCTAATCCATTGTAATTGATATGCCCATATTAACTAACTAACTAAATAAGTAGCGTTAAGTTAGAAAAAACTAATTTGAAACTGTTGCTTCTTGTTATAGGAGCCAAAGAAAATCAAAAAAGGTGTCACCATCTGGACAGCCCTGACAAAGTGCAGTTTTATCTGAATGGCCACAGCAGCAGAGGATCCTCCCGGACTGCAGGAAACTTCTGGCAGTAAGTAATTAATTTATGTCTAGTGATTGATTCCTTAAATGATATTGAAAAAAAGTATGCAGTTACTTTTAGCAACTCCCTCTGATGTAAACAGACACAGGCGAGACAGCACTGTGAAGCCAAGAGACACTCCATGTAAAATATTGATGGCAGAGCATTATTTAGCACACTGATAGCTGTAGGCGTGCGTTATCAACCTTTAAACTGTAAGCGTTTAGACTAGCTAGAATGATCCAGTTTTCACACAATTATTGGTAAAGTTGTTGATGACCAAGTTATATTAGGATCTTGAAAATAATAATCCAAAATTGACAATAGTCAACTAAATGTCTCATGTTTTATATGATCTTACAAAGCATTTTGGGGGTGACATACATGCTCACTTAAAATAATAAACAACATTCAAAATGGTATCAGTTTCTTAAAAAAAAACTTTCAAAAATGTGTTTCAAAAACAAAGTTTTTTTTAAAAACATCTGATACTGTATTCTCTTACCCCTATCGTTATGTAATTAATATATTTTAGAAGACTTTAGAAGAATGCTAAAACCTAAATTGTTTCTTCCTTGCCACACAAAGCTGTACACTTGTGGAGAACACTGTCATCTTTCCGAGGTAAAACTCAAGACGTGTGTGCATATGCATAAATCCTTCCTGACTTCCCCTTTTTCATTGCTTTGCTTTGATTTGAAAGTGGTTGTGAAACTGTAGTACTAGCATGTGAATAAGTGATTGTACATATATGTTTCTAAAAGAGTATCTGTTTTATCTAGATTCAGCGGGGGCCCGTAGACATGCCTTTCCTGATGTAAGTAAAAGCATTCATTGTGTGAGAGACATAATGTTGGTTAATTCTCAAAATTACCAATAGTTTGACCAACACATCCTCTTGCGTTTCCGCTTCATGGTTTACGCTGACATGTGCAAAGTGGTTTTTCTCTAGTAACTTTCCATCCTGCAATTCTCCATTCACAGGGTCCAAGTACCTCACAGGCCAATAAGAAAACTATTGGCCATCGTGGAATTGATCCCACAGGCGAAACTACTTACAAAAAGGTAGGAAGTTGAACACTGACCGCAGTCATTATAGAGAATCAATGTGACATAAGACAAAGAAATTATTATATTTTAAGTTCATATTATAGACTGTATATACAAATGGGCAAGCTTCTGGCTCCACTGACTATGGTTCCAATTCACATTTTATTGAAACAACATTGCCCTTTTCTCCTTAACTGCTTCTATCAGGCTCCTCATTTTCATTTTAAAATGTTCACAGTAACCCACTTTACGTGATCCTAGTGTTTTTGTTTCGCTATTTTGTCTGTAAATAAATTCCTATTTCCCTTAGTGTGTACAATCCCTCAGTCGTCCAGGTAGAATCCATGGCAAAAGGTTGAATACATTTCGCTGCTCATCCAAGCTGTTTCTTCAGTTCTGGTCAGACACTGGTGGACACTGCCTTATATCTGACTGAAGGGAGGAGCTAACTACAATGAAACTACTCTAAAACCATCACACCTACACCTACTTGTTTATAGCTTTTGCCTACTGAGCTGCACTGAGTCAACTTAGTTTGCCAGCTTGTTTTGCTATATTTTCCTTAGTCCACTTCTTTATACAGTCTGTGGGTCATATTGTTGATCAAGGAAAGATCAAACAAGGAAGTTGTTTTGTAACAAAGGCCTAACCCTACACTTTAAATGTTTTCATTTGAGCCTTTATCTATTGTACCTTTATCTCAAGGGCAGGGCAGGGCAGTTTCAGCCGCATGTTTTAAATAGTCAGTCATTAACAATCATTTATTTTCCAGTAGAAAATATATAGAAAAATAGGAATCAAATGTTGAAAATTGGCAAACTAGCTACTTAAATGTCACTGCTTAAAGTAAGATCATGTGATATATTGATTATTGTCGCTGTCTCTATAAGTGGTCGACCCGCATAATCCGATATTTTTAATGTCATTTTTATTTGTATTTTTCAGACCACTTCATCAGCTCTAAAGGGAGCCATCCAGTTGGGCATCACACACACAGTTGGAAGTCTGAGCCAGAAACCTGAAAGAGATGTACTGCTCCAGGACTTTGAAGTGGTTGAGAGCATCTTTTTTCCCAGGTTAGGATAATATAATAATAACCTAATTGTGTTGACTTGACTGGCTTAGATCTATTGTTACATATTGTTCCTGGTAGTTATAATGCTTTATTTTATATCTCTTTTTCAGTGAAGGTAGTAATCTGACACCAGCACATCACTACGGAGACTTCAGGTTCAAGACATATGCCCCAATCGCCTTTCGGTACTTCAGGGAGATGTTTGGCATACGACCTGATGACTACATGGTATTATCTTTTGCTAATATTTACTACTAGTATATTTATTATATGGCAAAACACATAATTCATTGTGGCAACAGAATAATGTTTCATTTTACACTGTTATGTTCAATATTTAATTGTTCTGCTTCCAGTATTCTTTGTGCAATGAGGAGCTGATTGAGTTGTCTAACCCCGGGGCCAGTGGATCCCTTTTCTATGTGTCGAGAGATGACGAGTTCATTATTAAAACTGTCCAGCACAAAGAAGCAGAATTTTTGCAAAAACTACTTCCAGGGTACTTTATGGTAAGAGAGCATGTCTTAATGTAGGTTTAGCACTTACTGTTTAAATCATTCCCAATTTACATCATGTGCAATGTAGTCTTCAAGTTGGGGGTTGGTGACAGCATATTGAAGTAAATTATTAAATTACGTTGAAATGTCAGTGTTAGCTTTCGTGATGCCTAATAATATGGTTATTGCGTCATAATTGAAGACAGATTAATACAACTTTATATATTTGATATGTAGATTTAACATCATGGAATTTCCTTTTTGCAGAACTTGAATCAGAACAAGAGGACGTTACTACCAAAGTTTTACGGACTCTACTGTGTCCAGTCAGGGGGTAAAAACATCCGTATTGTGGTCATGAACAATCTGCTCCCAAGTGTTGTCAAAATGCATCAAAAGTACGATTTGAAAGGCTCTACCTACAAGCGCCGAGCGTCTGCGAAAGAGAGATCGAAGGCTGTACCAACATTCAAGGACCTAGACTTTATCCAGGAAATGCCTGATGGTTTGTTACTGGACGGAGAAACCTACAATGCAGTGTGCAAGACCATCCAGAGGGACTGCCTGGTATGTGCTGTTTTTATCAATATGTGAAGATTTACGTGGCCTGTGTTTTGACAAGAACCTTGCTCTGTGATAATACATCAAATAATCATGTCTGTTCCTTAGGCAATGTACAAGGTAAAAGTTAATTCTCAGTTTTAATTGAATGTTTGTTTGATTTTGTCAGCTTTTACAGAGTTTTAAGATCATGGACTACAGCCTTTTGATGGGAGTTCATAATGTGAACCAGGCGAGTGAGGACGCTGGAGCAGTCGCTGTGGACCAGGCCAGACCCCAAGTCCAAAAGCCTCTGTACTGCACAGCACTGGAGGCTATTCAATCAGAGCCGACCAGAATGGGGTCCATGGACATAGAGGACAAGTGAGTGACTATGAAAAACAAATATGAGCCAAGATTTTTTATGGGGGTTTCTTAGCATTATAAATGGCTGTATTGTCTCATTTTCAAATGGGCAGGATCCTGAATTTATGTAATAATTTTATCACACAAGTCTCCAAATATTTAATTTGAACATTCATGATCTTGTCTATTGTGTGATATAGGTAGAGTATAATTCATAAAAATAAGCAAATTCTTAATGCAGAATTAAGGAAGGAGCTTTCAACTTATTTGGTATGTTTTGTCTTAGGACGGGAGGAATTCCAGCAAAAAACTCCAAAGGAGAGCGATTACTGGTGTACATCGGTATCATTGACATTCTGCAGTCTTACAGGTAAGTCCATGTTTGCTTAATGCATTGGCTAACAACTACTGTTCAAATCTCCCAACCAAAATAAATAAAGATTACAAAATATCGCAGCAAGTGTGAAATTACATAACCTAAACAAAAAACACAAAACAAAATGTCTTAAATAAAGAGGGAGGCCACAGCTCTTTGAAATCACTATGGAAGAATAAAGCCATACCAAAAAAACTGTATTTATTTAATGTCTACTTTCCTTTGATAAGAGTAATAATTTTCCCATTGTGCTGGAGGTTGTTTGTTCATGCGTCTGTTGACGTTGGTGCTTTTTTCTTTAATCTTAAGCAAATGTTATATCACTGTTCACTGTTCCTTCAGTCTGAAATTAAAGGTTTAAACTAACTGGATTTCAGCATTGACACGCTACTCAAATGAGAGACTCACTGAGGTGAGGCTCTGATTGAATAATCGTCATGACAACCAAAACACCAAATTATAACATAAATAAATAGGACATCAGGTCCAAAGTCTTTGTAATAAAGAATAAATCACCATTATAATTTTATTGATAACAATTCTATTTGACTTCTGTGGAGACAGATGAGTTTGTGAAATTGAAAAGCTAAATTTTACATACAGTTCCTTTTAAGTTTGTGCTGTGCAATTAATATTGCCTTATTTTTTTTAGATTGGCCAAAAAGCTTGAACATTCCTGGAAATCCCTAGTTCATGATGGGGTATGTTATCTTTTGGTAAATGTATGATGATACATGTGCTTTTATGGACTTAATTCATTATGTGTTTGTCAGGATACTGTCTCAGTGCACAGACCAAGTTTTTATGCCGACCGCTTTCAGAAGTTTATGTGTAACACGGTTTTCAAAAAGATTGCAGGTAACTACATTAGTGCACAAAATGCATCCTTATTGCAGTGTGTTGTTTTATAACTTTTTATTTATTTTTTTAAATTTAAAACTCTTCTTTTATATTTAGGGAAAACTTCTCCAACAAAAAAGCGTCGTGCTGTAGGTTACATTCCACTCAGAAAAGTCCCAGTCTTCCTGACACAGGCCAGCTCAGAGTCCAGATCTGACCCTGAGGGCGAAAGCGGTAAGAGCAGTGAAGTGTGGTTTTATGGACTTCTTTATTTCTGTACCAGCTGCTACTGGCTCCTCATCCTCTGCGTGTTTTCTCCTCTGCATTTCAGGCATGCACACAGGACGTCCTGACCTCCTCCCAAAAGCATTATCAAACATCAACAGCTTAAGCAAGGCCACGGAACACACAGTCTCAATCTCCCTGGAAAACACTGCGTCCTCTCAGCAAGAAGCATCGTCTTTGGACCACAACAAGTAAGAAGGCATGTAATACTCTAGAACAAATACATCTCTGTATAATATTTATTTGTTTATTTTGAAAAAAATATAAACAATATAACAAATATAACAATTATATAAATTGTATTAATAATTATATTATATTATTTTTTTTGTTTATAATTGCTTTCCATAAATGGTTATATCAGATATGTGATTGCTTTAAATGTTGAACAACTTTTGGCAGAGCTCAGGCGGGGCCTTTAGAAGAAAGCCTTGGTGCAATCTCACTGAGTGACGTAGTTCCTCAAATGAACACCTGTTCAGTGAGTTTGTTTGTCATTAAATTTACATTTCCTTGTACATCTTTTTCAAATTCTAACAATTTTCTTTTTTTTCAGGTTTAGCTGTTGGACAAACAAAACAAACATTTGAATGTGGTCCAAGGTACTAACAGTATATTATGAGGCAAATATTCTCTTGAGGAAAGCATGCACTTTCCAGGTTTCCAGATATGTACTTGCTATTTTCATATTTAGTAGAGATTGTTGTGACACTAGAATAAATCCTGTTTTATACTGTACACTACTCACACCAGTGTTCCCAACCTTAAGATAAGGTTGTCATTCCCTCAAATTTACAACCTACACATTGTTCACTTAAAACACGTCATTAATGACATTAATTCTGCAGTGGTAGGTGCACATAACTAAGATGTATGAGTCTGGTACTGATTGCCTAAGATGAATTATTTAACTCCTGCTTTTTGTTTTAACACATCTTAAGATGTTATTTTTGTATGCAGAGAGAGAGAGAGAGACTGTTACACAAAGTTTGTCTGTGGACTTTTTTTTGTCTCCACCAGGTATTCTTGATTAACTTTTCCAGGTTAATCTTTGGGTACAAAATATGCTGGAAAAAAGACTGCTGAGCCTTAAATTTTTTTGACAAACTATTAAGTCACCTTTAAGCTCATTTTTAACTATTATTTGACACTGGGTCAGAGCGTTTTATGTTTATCTTAATTTTATATCATTTTATTTGATGTCAATGTTGTTAGCAGGGCAGTCACCGGGTCTTAAAAGCATTAAAAAAGTACTCATTTTCAAAATGTTTGTCTATATTTTATGTTTTATGATATGAAAAAAAAAAACAGCATCAGCGACGATAGGACTAGAAAGATGGTTCATTTTCTTGTCTAGATGTGAAGGGAACAGAATTATCAGTGACTGTGTCCATGGTATATTGACACAAAAACTGTATAATTATCCCTAAAATAAACCAATGTACCGGTACTGTTTTTAAGGTGAATAATGAGGAAGAATTTGTCCTGACAGAGACAAATAGAGTTTCCTGCATTATTAGGTCCACAAATATACCATTGCACAGTTTAAACTCTTGAGCAAAGTGTCAGTGGAATCAGAGTTTGATTTCTGGGGCAAATGTGTTTGCAGGTCATCAAAAGAGGTATGAAAGGCTATATTATATTTTTCAAAGAGTGAAGCCAAGTGGCAGCATATATACAAAAAAGAGGGCTGGGCCTAATACAGAGCCCTGTGTAACTCTGCAGTTTAGGGGTGCCAAGCTTGATTTGTAGAGCCAAAGATGCACAAAAATTGTAGAAAAACTTCCATCTCTGAGATAGGATCTGAGCCAGTTTGATGTGCCTTTAAAACCTGCATGTTGCTCCAGATGGGACAGTAAAATACAGTGATGAACTGTATCAAAGGCTCAAAGTCTACTGTTAAATCCAAAAGTCCAAAATCCCAGAACAACCAGACTCAACCAGTGAAAGAAGTATCAGTTTGAATCATTTAATTACCCATATTGACTTTTTAATTTATATGCATGTGCTGTTACTATCTTGAATGTATAATCTTGTTTGTATTCTTGTACGTTTATGTCTATAATAAAATTTTTATCCCAGAGCTGAAGTAACAAAACAACAACAAAAAAAAAAGATAATTTCTGACCGTGGTTTACTTTGACCAATCACGTTTAGTCTTGTTGAACGGTCTGTCCAATCACGTGCGGGTTTACTGTAACACCACAAACAGCAACAACAAGTTTCCAAAATGGTGCTCGAAAGTACTATGGTCTGGTAAGAACTGAATAATACCCATTTATATTAGGGGTTTTGTGAAGAACTAAGACATCTCAGAGGTGATATGTTCATTGTTTACAATTTATGTTTTTGATTTTCTGTTTGTTTATTTTTGGTGCGTTTGGTCAAAGTGGCTCACGCTTTACCGATGGGCTGAGTCATTGTAGCTAATGTGCTTAGAAAATAATACGGTTTTTAGACCATAAGAAAAAGACATGCTACGACATAATGCAAAGTACTAGCTATATGTATATCGTAGTATGTGGCCGTATTTCTGTTGTTTTAATAATGACTTTTCTAGGATTTATAAGGATTGGCTAACGCTAGCACTGCTATAAGATATGTCATTGCGAGAATTGTCACCTGATCAGTATTACATGAATGTGAGATATTGTCCTTTTATGCACTGTCTGTATGTTATATATGTTGTTTAGTGTGGACAACAGTGAATATATGAGGAATGGAGACTTTCTACCAACCAGACTACAGGCTCAACAAGATGCTGTCAACATCGTTTGCCACTCAAAGACACGTAGTAACCCAGAAAATAACGTGGGACTCATCACAATGGCAAAGTTAGTATATTTAAATAATGGCATTGAGCTGTTGTATGTAACTGAGGTGGAAACAGGCAGATTTGTGGTGTCTGTGGTTGAATGATATGTGATTGTTGGCCTTGTCACCAGTGTAAAATATGAGGGTCAACTTTGGTGCATTTTCCAGTTGGATATTAACTGGCAGTGGTGGAAGAAATATTCAGTTTAGTTACTTTAAAGTATCGGAACAAAAAGAAAACTCAAGTAAAAGTTAAAATATTACATGAAAAAATCTACTTCAGTAAAGGCATTTAAGTACCCATTTAAAAATGTACTTCAAAAGTTAAAAGTAATTTTGCGCAGATTTTGAGGTCTGATAAAGCTTTAAATTTAGTGATTTTGGTACAGATTTGAGCTAAATGTTGTTCAGCAGAAAAAATAGATTTGTTTTTTCCCAGCTGTTGTCTATTTTTGCTCAAATCATGAATGTGTTAAAGAAAAACCCCTCAGCCTTTTCAGCAGGTCTCAAACTATTATAAAAATTATTTTATACTAAAATGTAGTAAAGTAGTGAAATACAGATACTTGTTCTCAAATGTAGTGAAGTAAAAGTAAAAAGTATACACTTTAAAATCTACTTAATCATAGTTAAATTAAAAACATCTAAAATTTATACATAAGTACAGAACCTTACTACTTTTACTTTGTTGCGTTCAACCACTGTTACATGCCATATGCCAAGTGACTGATGAATTCTGACTCTTATCCCCTATCGCACTCCTCTTATCACATCATCACATTGTAGAACCTGAAAACAGATAACTACTCTGTAACGCCCTCGTATTAACATGTCTGCTGTCGTGTTTTTGATCTTGAGTAGTAACTGTGAGGTCCTGACCACACTGACCCCAGACACTGGACGCATTTTGTCCAAACTTCATGCGGTCCAACCCAAAGGGAAGATCTGCTTCTGCACCGGTATCAGAGTCGCACATGTGTGTATTTTTACAATTGGTTGAATAATGTGGTATTTTATTTTGAAAGTATGTTATTTCCTTTCTTAATCCTACTTTATTTTCTTTGCGCAGTTAGCCCTAAAGCACAGACAAGGCAAAAACCACAAGATGAGGATTATAGCTTTTGTTGGGAGTCCAGTGGAGGATAATGAAAAAGATGTAGGTGTGCCTTCACAGTATTTTCTAAGTCAAGTCATATTATATTGTGTATTTACATGTTTATTGTTTCTGCAGCTTGTCAAAATGGCCAAACGGTTGAAAAAAGAAAAGGTTAATGTAGATATTATTAACTTTGGAGAAGAGGTAAAAAATTGCATTCATCCCATTTTGAGTAATTAAAAAAAAATAATTGTTTAGTAACATGTAAATGGTTTCTTTGATTGTGTAATGTCAGGAGGTGAACACGGAGAAACTGACGGCCTTCATAAACACCCTGAATGGTAAAGAGGGATCTGGCTCTCACCTGGTGACTGTTCCTCCTGGACCCAGTTTGGCAGATGCTCTGCTCTCATCCCCCATCCTAGCTGGAGAGGGGGGCTCCATGATGGGTCTCGGTGCTAGCGACTTTGAGTTTGGTGTCGATCCAAGTGCTGATCCTGAACTGGCTCTGGTAAGGAATAATAACACCTTAATATATATATACACTTTTTTTTTTTTTATGCTAATGTTCTTGTTTGTTTAGGCCCTGCGTGTTTCGATGGAGGAGCAGCGACAGAGGCAGGAGGAAGAGGCCCGTAGAGTGGCTGCTGCTTCTGCTGCTGAGGCCGGTGTGACCACTCCCTCTGCAGACGGTAAAGATGCAGTTTCTAATGTGTTAACAGGTTCGAAAGTTTAACCACATCAGTATTACAAAGCTATGAACTTCTCACTAATTATAGCTCATTAATTATTTGAAATTAATGCAAACTCCAATACACTGGTCCTTTACCAAATTGACCGTTTTTTAAAATTTATTTAATAGTTTTGCTGTGGACATTGGAGTAAAGCAACATATATCAAGGATCAGTCCATGTTTCTAATATCTTTCTTTACTCAGAGTCCGAGGAAGCCTTACTGAAGATGTCCGTGTCCCATTCTGACTCTGGAGCAGCGGTGCTCCCAGACTTCAGCAGCATGACAGAGGAGGAGCAGATCGCTTATGCCATGCAGATGTCTCTGGCAGGAGGAGGTGAGCACAATACAGTCACATTCACAATATATTACACCATAGCAAAGTCTATGAGTGATCGAACCATTTCTTGTGCTTTGTGGCTATGCCGGCTTGTCAAAGCCTGATCCCGTCAGCTCTCAGAAGCTAAGCAAGGGCATGCCTGGTTAGTACTTGGATGGGAGACCACTAGGAATTCCAGGTGCCACAGTGGGGTCATTGTGTCTTTAGGCAGGATATTTCACCCACATTGCCTAGTAGGTGTGTGCGTAAGTGATGGTGGTGGTTGGAGGGGCCGATGGCGTAGATTGGCAGCCTCGCTTCCATCAGTCTGCCCCAGGGCTGTGGCTACAGTAGTACCTTACCACCACTGAGTGTTGAGTGAATGAATAATGAACTGTAAAGCGCTTTGGGTATCTTGAAAGGCGCTATATAAATGCAGTGATTAATTAATTAAAAATTAATTAATTAATTACAAATTAATTAATTAATTCATAATTAATTAATTAATAGCTTCAGTAAACAAGCCAATTTCAAAGGATTTACTCATGTGCTTTGTGTATAAAAACAATAACAACAATAACAACCGTAAATAATACATACTATAACACATAATAATAATACACTTGAGCGAAATGAAAGTGGTGTGACTTACAGTTGTAACATGACTTTTGTCTTATTGCTGTAGAGTACGGAGAAATGGACACAGGTGGGCCTATGGACACTGCAGAATCGGCCAAGGTAAGATTTTGTTGTGTACTTGTCTCATAGTTCATGGTATAGATTAAGGACTTATTCATTTTTTATTGTTCTATTGTATGGTCTGTTAAGCTCAGTGGTTACTATTCTACTATTTTTACACAACAATATACAGATCAGGAAACTACGTAACAAGAAGGCAAAATTTATTTTCTAAACATAATACACAGATTAGGATTTATAGTATATGGATTAACCTGTGTATTGTGTATATTTTCTTCATATTACTTTCAAAAGCCTGAAAAACTTCCTGAGCAGTGTTTTCTATTTTTGCATAATTCTTTTTCCAGGAAGAGGATGACTATGATGTGATGCAGGACCCAGAGTTCTTACAGAGTGTGTTGGAAAATCTACCTGGCGTTGACCCAAACAATGAAGCCATCCGCAATGCAATGGGCTCCCTGGCATCCCAGACCGGGAACAAACCTGATGCCAAGAAAGACGAGGAGAAGAAGAAATGAGAAGAGGGACTTTCTGGACAAAACAGACTGTTTTAAAATCTCAGATCTCAGACAAATGCAGGATTTTCTCAGTAGAAATTCTATAGCCCAGCTTGAGAGATCACAATTGTACTACTTTTCTGATGCAACAATGAAAATATAGATAGAATACCAAGATTGTATTATTTAAAACATTACTTCACTTTATAAAGATGCCAATTTCAAGGGATTTACTGATGTGCTTTGTATCCAATTACATTATAAAGTTGACTCAGATAAACAGCAGGTGACTTGTATGTTGACAAGAGTATGGCTTATCTCATGTCAGGTTTTGGTGTTTTTGCAATAAAAGATAAGTACAAATATGGCTTCTTCTTTACGGTTTGACTGGATGCTAATATTGGATTTTGTTTTTAATTTATATTTTAAGGTCTAAAACAGAATGTAAACATAGAAAGAAGTGGTGTGGGAAACGTTTTTGAAGATTTTGACCACTGCTTTAGCAGTCATAGTTTTGAATATATGGCGGTATATTTGGGCAGATCTGGTGGATATAAACATTACGTGTCATTTGCAGCATCCACTGATCAAATGTATTTTCTTGCTCAATCTGACCCAATCGTGATTGGGGACCCTGGATCACGTGACGGGAAGCGCAGCATTTTCAGCTGAAAACGAGCTAGGATAGTCGGGAATCGCTTATCCAGGTAAACAATCAAAATCCACAGACTATTCAGATCATTCTGCCCTCCCCAAACACTATTTTTGGTTTATATTTCTCCCTATACACACCTGGTTTAGCTCCACGCCAGCCCATCCTATAGCAAACAGCTGTGGGAGCTTTTAAATGGCGAGCGCTAGCTGTTAGCAAAATGACCCCTCTCCTCTGTCTTGGCTGGAGCTCCGCGGCCAACTCGCCAGTCTCGGTCGGGAGGAATATCTTTGCTTAAAATAGCCAAGGATCCCGCGACCATGCGCTTTAAGGCTTCACACTGACCCAGGAAATATCCAAAAATAATGCATGCGTTGACCACAATGCACGAGTAATACATTTCATTCAAAGCAAGCACAGCTGTAGCTACCTGTTTGTGAAACGAGCATTGGTTACCGTCGTTAGCCCGCTAGCTCGCTAATGTATTGGCTAGATGCTATTAGCCAGATCCACATTATTATTATTATTATTACATTGCTCCTTCTTAGTCTGATTGAATAGTCTTGATTTAAAAATTCACATGTGGTTGTTTTATATCTTGTAACCCCTTATTTATTGCACGTAAAAGGTTTCTTCTCCTTTGCGTTGTTCTGTAGCATGAGGATGGAGAGCTGATGAACTGGTGATGCTGCTTGGAAAATTCATAAACATTTGGTAGATTTATAGACCTTTAGCTTAAAATTGTAAATAGAAATTTTAAAACGAACCAGTGCTACTTTAATTGTAAATTGTTAAGCAAACATGGCTTCTATGACCAAGAATGCTCATTGTTTTTGTGTTTTCTAGGAGTCAATCCCGGCATGGGGGACATGAAGACCCCAGATTTCGATGACCTTTTGGCAGCGTTTGACATTCCTGATATAGACGCCAAAGAGGCCATCCAGTCTGCCCCAGATGAGACCGAGGCTCCTCATACTGGAACCCCTAGTTCAGCCTTAGGAAAGCCGGAAAACGTGGTTGGTGTTGGACCATCTTTAAGACCACCAAGCCCCCCAGACTCCCAAACAGATACTTCAATTGTCAGCGTGATTGTAAAGAATAAAGTCCGTGCTGTGGATGGGGTGGAGGGAGAGACTGATCAGGACCCCATTGATGTTATAGCAGGGGTGGATGTGGGACCTCGACTTGGTGCTTGTGCTCCCGGGGTAGCCGAATCAGAGCCACTAAATCACAATGGCTTTGGGACATCTGGCGTGTCTCCTTCCCTTGCACTGAATCAGGCGCAATCCAATGGAGCGCCATGGTCAATCAACACCAACAAAGTGTCTTCTGAAACAGCAGGGGGCAAGACACATAAACAGGGTGGCAACATTTTCAATAGACTAAAACCACTTGTATCACAGGGTACTGGTGATCCCGTGGGTAGAGCCAGGAAAATGCAACTTCTTCAGCAGCAGCATCAACAGCAGCAAGACACGGGGCAGGAGCGGCCGGATGGGGTCAAAGCAGCACTACCGTCGTCCTCCTCTTTACCTGCAGGGTCATCAGCGTTATCTGCAGCAGGGCCTGTTGGGTTAGCTTCACCTTTCTTCCCCCCTTCTAAACCGGTGCTACCTACGCCTTCACACCCTCTGCACTCTGCTCAGCCTTTTAACGGTGCTAGTAAAGGGGGATTTCAGCACACACCAATGGACGAGGAGGATTCGGACCCCGATTTAGGAAGCCCATTGGTGATACAAGAAACTCCGGATTCTCCAACTGCCACTGAGCTAAGTCAAAGGTACAAATCTGATGCAACGCAGCCATCTTCATCTATAGCTCCACATCCAAAACCAGGCGACACACCTTCAGGGGCATCAATGGGCGTGTCCATGCCTCAATCCGGTACGACAGAAAGTCCTGCACAAGAAGATAGGCATCCAGAACATGTAATTGAAGAAAGAGACTCTCCAGAAAGTCCAGAACCAGAAATGCCCAAATCTGCAGCTCAGATTGCATCCAAGAGGTGCTCAAGTCCTGCAGTAGCCTCCACTCCGCCTCCTTCTGAACTTAGGGAGCCCAAAGAAGAGGAGGAGGAGATGGAAGTGGGCAATGGTATCGATAGGGTTGTAGATGGAAAAGGAGATACTGAAAAAGGTGAAAATGCCAAAACGGGTGAAGAAAAAATGGATGTTGAATACACAAAATCAAAAACATCTGGAGCAGACACTAATGCTGCCCCAGCTGCATCTGGCACACCCTCCCGCCCTCTCAAAGTTCGAATAAAGACGATCAAAACATCCACAGGGGTTACTCGGACAGTTACCAGGGTAGCATCTAAAGGAGGGGCAGATAAGTCTCAGAGCGGGGATCACAAACTTTTATCGAACAAAAATTCAAAAAATGAAGCTGGACAAGTAACAACATCTTCACAGAAAGTAAGTGCCCTCAATGCCTTGCCTGTGTCCACTCTTGCTGCCAGTACTGTCATGTTGGCAGCAGCTACTAAAGTTCAGAATAAAATGGCTGCTTCTGAAAAGGCAAAGGTCTCTGCAACGGCGGTTAGCATCACAAAATCCACGACTTTACCTGTAACTCCCTCTGCAGCGTCGACTCCCAAGTTTTCAGCTGGCACTGGTGGCATAAGTGTGCGCACATCCACTAATAAGACAGCGAACGGGAGCACTGGTACCATAATAGCAAGCACCCTCCAACCAACTAAACCTGCTTCTATAGTCAACAGTACAGGAGCTGTCATCTCCCGCAGTCAGTCAAGTTTGGTAGAAGCCTTCAACAAAATCCTAAACAGTAAAAATCTGCTACCAAGCTACAAGCCTGACCTCTCTGCCCCTCCGCCTCCAGAATGGGGCTTACCGCTGCCCTCTACTGGATACCGGTGTTTGGAGTGCGGAGATGCATTTGCGTTGGAACGAAGCCTGGCGCGACACTACGACAGGAGATCACTACGGATAGAGGTGACATGTAATCACTGTGCAAAGAGACTGGCATTTTTCAACAAGTGCAGCCTTCTCCTCCACGCGCGTGAGCATAAGGAGCGCGGGCTGGTGATGCAGTGCTCACATCTGGTCATGAGGCCGGTCACTGTGGAGCAGATGATCGGACAGCAGGACATCACGCCCATCGGTGGTAAGGAAATCTGATTTGTGTCATATTTGTGCACATTCAGTATTCAAGTCATAGAATCATTTGTGATCATTGTGATGTGTTTGAGATGAGTTTATTAGTTTTTGTTGTTCAATTAAATGTCTTTTTGTATACCCAAAAATCACAATAGCAGTTGCTTTGTAGGCTTTACAAAATTGATGATTTAAGCAGCAAAAAGTTGGGAAATCATACAGTGAATTGGGCAATGAAATGCAAGTAAGCAGATTGTCCATTCCACATTCACAAAAAACAACTTTGCTGAAAAAGAGAGAGAGAGATGCTTTTTTAATCCCGAGGGAATTTAACTTTTGCTGCAAAAAATATATTTTATTAGTTTTCGGGCATTATCTTAAAATTCATATTATTTTGTGTTTTCTATTAAGTTAATTGTTGTGTGCTTGCTTTGTTAATGTGGATATTAGCCTTTTTCTGATAAAACACTGGATTTCTTTAGCCATAATTAGTTGTTATGCAAACTACTGTTTTTAATACCATGTCCAAATATCACAGAGAAGAAGCATGAAAGTACCCGGTTGTTTTGGTAACTCATCTTTGCACCGAGTTCACCTGAAACTCAGGCTGTATGTGTGGGAGTTGCTGGTACAAAAAGAAACTTAAACCTTAACTTTTTTAAACTATAAATTATATATTTTTGTTTGCTATATCATCTTTGTCACATTGTGCTCACCCTCATCCTCCCATCTGTCTCTTTGGTTCATGTTTTGGTTGACCAGGCCTGCTCTCCTCTTCATCCTCCTCTCCTTCAGTCTCCACCTCCACCACCTCCGCTGCCTCTGGGACATCCTCTAGCCCCAGCCCCAGAAAAGACTCCTCCACCCCGGCCTCTACTCAGCCACGACAGGTGCGGCGGGCTACCCAGGGCCCACAGGCGTTAATGCCCCTGCCCTGTAAGAAGGCTGAGGGGCTCCAGTACAACAACTTCAAATGCCCCGAGTGCCAAACGCAGTGTAACAACAAGGCTGAGCTGGTGACGCACTTCCAACAGATCAGAGCCACTTCAAACTCAGTAAGATCAACAATCACATTTGACAACTCTAATCATTGTACTGGCAATGCTAATCAGAGCAACTTATTTTTACTATATTTTTTATTTTCAAGGAACCACACACACCACAGTGATTCATCTACATCCCTGCTTACATTTTAATTTCATCCTCTCAAAGTAAATCTTGTCAACTGTATGTAAAATTGCAATGAATACAAAAAAAATGTGCCATGTTAAAGTTATTGCACATGTTTCCTCTTCCTCACTAAGTGGTCTGTGTATTTACTGTATATAATGTATAATTTACATTAATAATGTACAGACCACGCCCCAGTAAAATACTGGTATAAAGCCAGCACACGTTGGTTAGGCATTGTTCAAAAGATCTAATATCTTTCATCTGTCTTCACATTTATCACTGGGTTTCAGAGTAATGAAACATTTTCACCTATTACTAGGATGCTTACCTGGCCAGCCAGAACCACACACTTTGACAGAACTTTACAGAACACTTGCAGAGTGAATCTGGAGCTGTATCCTGTCTCCCTGATTCCAAAGGGCGTGATTGACAGGCAGATTAACCAATCCCAGAGACACGTTTTCTGTTAGCATCAAAAACAAACTAACAACTGGCTGATCAGACAACCAGGATGCTAAAACCCAGGAATAGCCGTTTCTGGCCAAAATCCTCCTTTAAATACAAATCGCCCTTACTGTACCACTTACTTTTTTGGTAAACAAGGCCTTATCGATCACAACACAGCATTTGGATCGTTCCTTTTTTTTAATCTCCTCATCTGTCTCCTCTCTCAGACCTGTTCTCAGTGCTCTCCTCCCATGATGCTGCCAAACTCGTGTGCTCTGTCAGCTCACCAGAGGATCCACAAACACAAGGCTCCTCATGTTTGTCCTGAGTGTGGGGGCACGGCGAGACAGGCCAGCTTCCAGACGCACCTGGAGGAGGCCTGTCTGCACTTTGCACGCCGAATCGGATACAGGTGAGATGATGTGCCATAAGAGAAATAACACAGAAGCAGAAGCATACTTGTTTTGATGGTCACGTTGAGGTAGGGCTGTGCATCAATCAAATGTTAATCAAGATTGAGATTCAGTCATATTTTAATCATCAGTTATCATCTTAAGAATTTGTAATTGAGAGGTCTGTTGCCAATTTTCTGTTAGTAAAAACATTTTAAACATTTTTTAAAACATTTTGTGTTAATTGGCACTGATTGAAAGTCTGTGTTTATGTTCATGAATAATAATGATATAAAATAAAATGTAATAAAATCGTGATAAATAAATGTTTTGTCTTACCACTTAGCCATATGTTGTGGTAGGAAAATGGACTTGGTTTCATACATTTATCTCATGCTTTTTATGTGAATTTCAATGCTTTTCTCTAAATTATTGCCACTCCTTTTTGGCTGTAGTGTCACCTATTTAAAAAGAACTAAAAACTACTGCTTGCTTGGCTAGATGACTGTTTTCAGTGACATTAAGATCATATGACTCAAGCTTTTCTAACCTGATCTATAAAATGTTTATGAAGGTTGTAAACAAGATACTCCGAACACCTTTGCAAATTTATGACAGTGGTTTCTGTTCAAGCAGTAGAACTAAAATCAACAATCAGCAATATTGAAAAATGGTCTGCTTCTTTCAGTTTAGCCAAGCAAAGTGAGGTAAAATATAGTATGAAATTATTATTTATCTATGAATTTCAGTAGCTCATGAGGTTACAACAGTGATGCCCAACCAAGTGTACGTGAGCACCTAATGGGGGGAATCTGGAACTAAGGCTTTCCCATTTTCCAATAAATATGAAATTGAATAATATTTAATGAAAGTGTTCTCAATCATTAAAAGGCTCATGTTACGTTATTTTCTGATCTATGTTATAATGTTTCCTCATCACAAACATTCCTGGAGTTGTTTTGTTTCATTCACACGTTTATCACACAAAACCTCCATATTTAGTTCTTCTCTCACATAGAAAACACACTGTTCCACCTTGTGATGCAATGCAGTAATACAGGAAGTGCTCCACCATTTGGATGACTCACAAGGTGGAACAGAGCATTTTGAGCTTTGGACTTGTAGGCAGACTAATAATAAAAGATTACTCAAATGTGTGAATGAAACATAGCTCCAGGCAGGTTTTTGATGAAGTAACAGTACAGTATTATAACATGGCTTATAGCTCACAGGAGTAAATCTTGCACAGTATAAAACCTTTAAATCATTAAAACAATAGATAACCCCAAAAGAGAAAGCCTAATTGAATCTATCTTTGTTTTCTATCCTCCAGGTGCTCGAGTTGCCAGGTCGTATTTGGGGGCCTAAACTCTATCAAGTCCCACATCCAGACAGCTCACTGCGAGGTCTTCCACAAGTGCCCCAGCTGCCCCATGGCCTTCAAATCTGCCCCCTCCGCCCAGAGCCACATCAGCACACAGCACCCCAATCTCACAGGGGGGCAGGCCAAGTAAGCATCACAGCACCAGTCAATGCCAAGCAAATATTTATTTTTATTTTTTTACTTACCCTGGAAATTTCTGTGATTTCGGACGTTTCACTGTTTAGGTTCATGATGTTTAAAAGGCCCACGTTACGCTATTTTCTGATCTATGTTATAATGTTGTTTCCTCATCAAAAACATACCTGGAGTGTTTTGTTTCACTCACCCATGTTTGAGTAACCCTTTTTTATTAGTCTGTCTACATCTCCAAAGCTGAAAATGCTCTGTTCTACCTTGTGATGCCATGTTACAGTTCTTTTCAAGTTAACCCCACCTTTTCGCTTTAGTTCAGTAGAGATTGGATATTTCAAGGCTGAAATTGTCCAAACTCTTCCAGTGAAAGTGTATGGAGTTTAAAAACACAGTGGAGCTCTTCCTGTATTGTGTTTTCTGTTTCTGTTTGTGCGTTAAACATCCAAATCCACTTTATTTCTATAGCACATTTTACAAACAAAGCAGTTTCCAAAGTGCTGCACAGAGATCATAAAACGAAGACAACAAAAAGGTAAATTGATCAAATTTGGTCATACCAGTCCTAAAACAATAAAATCTGAAAATCTAAATAAAAGCAAAAACCATAAAAACCATGTGTTAAAAACTAGAGCTTGGGATCGGCCATGAAGAAGACCCCCCCCCCCCCCCCCCCCCCGGTTTTAAGTCTCGATTAAGGCACCACGAGCTGGAGCTGGCCTAAGACGTACTGTGGGGCCAGTCCATTTAAAGCTTTAAAAACAAACAATAAAATCTGTATATCAACTCTAAAACGAACTGAAAACTAGTGCAATGACACTAAAATCGAGGTAATGTGCCCACGTTTTTTGGTTCCAGTTAAAATGCGCGCACCAGAACATGTGTGAATGAAACGAAACACAACTCCAGGTATGTTTGTGATGAGGATGTGATGAAAATTATAATATATACCAGAAAATAGTGTAATATGGGCCTTTTAATTGGTGAATTTCTTTATTTTAGTTACACAATTGAATAAATTTTCCTTTTGTTCAGAATGATCTACAAGTGCGTGATGTGTGACACCGTTTTCACCCTGAAGCCCTTGCTGTACATGCACTTTGACACTCATTTAGCCAAACAGAAAGTGCACGTGTTCAAGTGTCCAGACTGCACCAAGCTCTACGCCCAGAAGGGGTCAATGATGGAGCATATCAAGGTGAGTCGCTTAGATTTTTTACCACTGCTTTGTTTTATAAGGGATGCCAAGATTATTTGGTTTACTGGTACTGGTGATAATACAAATCACAATGTAATAATAAGGAATAATTCAGCTATTATTGCCTTTTTGTGTTGCCCATTCAGTGCTTCTTACGCTGAGTGTGGTGTCAACAAAGGCATACAGTAAACTCTTGGATCGGCCTTAGCAAGGTTTCCCTCTGGTGGCCTTGTCCTAAGTTCTATCACAAGAACAAATATTTAGCGTTTTCAGAGCTCTTGTGTCTATGATTTTGCTGTATACCTCTGCTTCTGCTATTACTATTGCTATTTCCACAAGAGATAAGACGAGATAAGAGATTGTGTCGACAAGAATGAGACAAGATGGGATTTTAACAGAATTCCTGTTTTAGAAATGTAATGATTCAGTTTCCAATTTTGACCTCACAAAACTTATTATTTTTTTCTTTTTTTATACTGCTTTTTGGAACTGTAAGAGATGTAACACACCAACACTTTTTTGTCCAATTCAAATGTTAACGCTCACAAGATAATTTTTCTCTTGTGTGTACGATTTTGTGGCAATTTTATCTCGCAAGATCTTGTAGCACGCATCACACAACATTTGTGTTTTGAGCAAATCTGGTTTTATAATGGCTGGGCCTGTTTGGTCCTGTGTGAATCTATGACTGCTGTAACATGTTGTAACCTTTGTAAACCTTTGCAGATCTTTAACAAATAACATTCAATAATTCTTATTTTGTACATGTCTGGACACAACATATAATAGGGCTGGGAATCTCAGGGTCCCTCATGATTCGATACAATACACTTTACATGGCTCATGATACGATATTATCATGATATATGCAATAACTGAGATATTGCACATGATAGCCTTTGATATATTGCAGTTTTTAAGAACCAAATACATTTTAGGAACAGTATTTATTTGCTAAACCACCACTTGTGCAAAATGTTAAGTGTGTTATTGCATAGACAAGTTTCCTTCCACTAAATAAGCAACAACATTACAGTGTGGTCACAAAAAAATTGCTAAAACATACCAAAAAATTCTCTATATGATATATTGACATAGGAGCCCACCATAATGATACTCGATCACCAAATTTAGTATTACGATACATAGATATTTTGATATATTTGCACACCCCTAACGTTTAAAGCACTGAATATTTTATTGCGATGTATTGCTCCTATTTTTTAACTGTATCCAAAAGGAAAATTTATAATAGTCCATTATCCTGCTATATTTCCTAATATATTTGTCTTTGTTTTTTTGCAATTCCTGTACCTGTACTGAAATTTTGTAACTTTGCTCTATAAATACACTGACAGGTGTTTAGAATGTCAGTATAGGCCCAGTATAAGTGAAGCACATTTAAGATATTTTAACACAGAGATTTTGGAGGGAAAAAACCAAAGTGTTTATATTTTGTTTCTCCTCAGACGGCTCACAGAGGACCGTCAGCCAAACAGGAAGTCCAGTCTGACAGCTCTAGCTCCGCCCCTGCCTCGACGAATGCTGGTGCCTCTGGTCTCAAATCCAAGTCTTCTGTGAAAACGGATAACTCTGACGGAGAGGACTGGGGTCGCGAGCAAGAGGACGAGGAAGAGGAGGATGATGAAGATGATGACGATGATGGAGATGAAGATTATGAAGCTCCTGGGAGTCACACGGTCTCGGCCAACCAATCAGAGTGGACCTGCCCTCAGTGCCAGACCACCTTTACAGATCACGATGACTTTCTCAGCCACGTGAAAATGGAGCATGGAAAGGTAATCTCACAAGCATCAGGGGAACTTCTGTGTTTATCACAAACCACAGATCCTGGTTAAGATTGTTTACTCCTCGTTTTACTTGTTATGACGGCACTTGTGAAACTCATGACATGACATTTGACTTTTAGTGTATTTTCTTTATATTTGTATTTAAGTATTTTTTTGTTATTTATATTAACACATTAATTTCACTGCTTTAGTTCAGCCATAAAAAAATCATCATTTGACTTTGCTTCAATGTCCTAAGGCTAAATTTACTTATTTCATATTTATTTTGCTTCAGTTTCCCTGCCGCATCTGTGGTGGGACGTTCAGCACATCGTCCAGTCTGAGGCGTCACGAGCGTGTCATCCATGAAGGAAACAAGCGCGTCTTCCGCTGCCAGTGAGTGATTCTGCTGCTCATTATTGTTTATAAAACAAAAATACTGATGTGCAGCCTGAGTGATGTGTGTGTGCTCTGCAGATACTGCACTGAGGGCAAACGCACCTTTGGGAGTCGATTCCTTTTGGACAAGCACATTCGACTGCATCACCGAAACCCAGAGGGCCAGGTGTGTGCTCTCTCCACCCTTGATAAAGAAACATGAATAAGAACATTTTATACTAATGATTAATCTACTCCTAACGAGGAGTCCAAGGAGGAGTCTAGATGGTGCAGCGATAGTGAAGAGTGTAAACTATTCCCACATATATGACTTATCCAATTTATCATTACTGTTAGAATCTACCCAATTTTTCAAGTATTATAATGAATGAGTACACCATTTAAAGCTATATTTGGTATAGTCTCAACCTCTGCTTTCCTGTTCCCAGGGTCCTCCAATGACGAGGAAGCGTGCAGCTGGAGTGGACGGTCCAGGCAGCTCCTCGGAACTGGATGGAGAGGGTCCCTCTGTGCTGAGGCCAGGGGAGGAGGACGAGCACCCCTCAGCGGACGGAGAGGAGGGGGCCGGTCCCGCTAAGAGGACCCGGGCGTCTGTGGCCTCGACACCAGCGTTGCCCCCTGCTGAACTGGAAGAGGACGACAGTGTGTTCCGGTGTGTTCCGTGTGGCTTCACCACAGAGGACGGAGCGGAGTTCCAGCAGCACATCCCGCAGCACCGCGCGGACACTGCCTCCTTCCAGTGCCTGCAGTGTGGGGTGTGCTTTGCCTCAGCGGGCTCTTTGGGCAGACATCGCTTCATCACCCATCGCGTTCGGGACACCCACAGCAGCAGCAGTGAAGTCCCCTCTGCAGCTCCACAGCGCCCCCACCAGGGCACCACTCCGGACGGGTCACCTGCCGGCTCGCCCCACGTCTCGGCAGAGGAATCGGAGGGGAACCTGACCTGCAAAGTGTGCGGGCGGCGTTTCGACAAAGCCTCGGACCTCAACACGCACTTCCGAACCCACGGGATGGCGTTCCTCACAGCCCACAAGACAGACAAGCCCTAGGAACATTTATAAACAGGGCTGTCCCAAAAGATACAGAAAATGAATGTTGAATTTAAAGATGGCTGCTTCCTGTGCAGTTTTTTACCCCCTATAAATAGACAGTTTTAAATATCTATGGCACCTCTTCTGTCGGATTGTAACTGCATGTTTCGGTCACTAAACTCAACACACCTGTGCTAGAAAGGCATTATATTATAGTCTCAACCATACTGTGTCCAAATATGTCCTTACCATTTTCACCTCTGCACTAACTGTAGCGCCACCTACCTGTTTACTCATGCAACACTCCTGCCAATTTTACCGCTACTTTTATTTGCCTTTACTACATTTTACTCAGCTGGCTTTACTGGCCTGTTTTAATGGCTTCACATTTGACTTTTTAGCTGCTAAAACAGATCGACGACAAGAGGGGGATGGCTTTAGGAAATTGACACTGTTTTTTATGTTGCTAAAATATTGTAATATTTATTTATACGAACGTGACTTCTGCAACATAAGAGGCATATCTTTGAAGGCATTTTTATTAGATGAGTTTATTGAAGGCCTGTAACCTGTTAAGTGTGAAAATGTGTAATGTTGTTCTTTGTTAGAGCTTGAAGAGGGTTTAAACGTGATATACTTTCACTGGACATATTATCAGAAACACGGTGTACTTAAGTGAGTATCAAAAGGCAGTAACTAATACATTTTAACTTGTAGATATCATAACACAATTTAAATTGCACAAATATATAAAGGATTATCAGTAAATTGTCTTTTGTGACTTGTGGTATTATTAGCCTTAGACTCAAAGTGTGTTGTTTAGACCAAGTTAATAGTCTAGAAAAGTGGTCCCTCAAGTGTGAAGTTGAACATTATCAGTGTATGTACAGCTTCTTTAAAGCCTTAATATAATTTTAATTATATATATTTCACAATGAGCTGTTAAATATGTGCCACAAGAATTTTTAAGTACTTATTTTTTTGGAAACACCCTATTTTAGATGTGTGAAACTCAAGTACAACACAAATTTGTACAATTGTAAAGTGTCTTACATTTTTGTTACCATGTTGCCATGATTGTCACAACTGTCCCTTTATATTTAATAAGTGTTTCAATTAGTAATTAAAAAGTTGTGCGTAGGAACTACAAACACCAAGACTAGCCAAGGTTACAATTGTGGTTCTTGATTTAAATGATATTGGAGTCTAAATGGATTAACATTGCTGCCATCTAGCTTAAGACAGTGACTTTAATAATATGTCCAGTGAGTGTACGAGTACGAGTTTGCCATGTAAATACATATAATTACACTAAAAGAAAAGTGCGCTGGTTTTAGTAACTTGCTATGATAATGTGAATACGTATTTGTACCTGTACTGTTCCCTTTTTTCCAAACACATTGAAGTCTAAAAGTAAAAAAAAAATCTTCCCCCCAGAAGTAGCTATCCATTGTAATTACAGATTGAGAGCTTGGGGGCCGTGTTGTCTTAAGTGTATGAATACAAATGTTAATCTATGGGAGATGGTTGATTTTTTTATGAATGACTCAGTGCTTGCTTGTTTTTCTTTTCTATGTTACAAAGCAGCCTTCATTGTTAAGCGACGGAGGCCTATGGGTGGACTTCTTTTGTTTGTATCTTTTATATGTCATGATATCATATTTATATAGCTCTATAGTGGAAAACTTCATGTCATTTTTTTCCATGGTTGTGGTCTGCTTGCTGAAATGCCATACACTTTTGTGCTGTTTCGAATAAATGTGTAAAAGAGAAAATACTGTATCGTCTGCATGTTTGTCCACTTTGGTAAGATGCATCCATTTACCCAGTTTGCAGTGAAAGTATAGCCAATCTGACGTCACCTATTGTCTCCGCTCAATTTCATTTCTCTCCAGTGACTAGGTCAGGAATAGATTAGACGGTTTGGTGCGAGTTTGGGCACCATCCAATCAGCGAAGAGCCATACATTCTGTGTTATCAACAATTCCCGAAATCAAGATTTAAAGCTGGAATAAAGAGAATGTTTGGTGAATTTTATCAAGGGGAAAGAGGTTATTGCCCTTCTTCCTATGGGAGATGGGAAAAGCTTAATGAAAAAAAAGTCTTAATGAAAAACCTATCGTCGGGCGAGCGAATTCTAACACTGTGAGGTCAGACGGTTTCTATGAAGTGAAACCAGCTGATGAATCAAGCTACTGAATGTATGCCACAGAAAAAAATATATCTTAGAACAGGCTTTACGCACTTTTTAAATATTAAAAACATCAGACTTAAACTTAAAATGAAATTACATCAAACTTAAAATTAAATTACATTTAAAAATTACATTGCAGATATTACATTAAAGGTCGACTATGTAACATTTCTGGTGTCTTCATTGAGATCGTATTGCTTTGCATGTAAAGTCCCACTGTGTGGCTATTTGCCTATTTTGCATTTATTCAGTTACTCTGGGTTTTTATTACAACAAATAATTCTTGGAAAAACATACATTCTTATTGTGAATCAAGTTGCTTCTCCACATGGCCTGTTGGTATGACCTGCTTATCAAAATGTAGATAAACAAGTTAAATACAGTATGGAACATTCCAGACAAAGAATAGTATAGTTTCCATGGAGAAAAGCAGATGGTAAAACCCGCACCAGAAAAGTTACAGTACATTCTGCACATTATGAAGACAAAATAAAATTTACACGTTACATGTCTCAGATCATATAATCAGGCCCATTGACAGAAATTTGGGGGCCCGGAGCACAAAGACTCAAATGGGCCCCCCTCTAACATAAATTAATAGGAAGAGAGTCCAATTCTGGGCCCCTAAAACCCTGCAGCCTGAGGTAACAGACTCGTTTGTCCCCCTGTGTCTACTGCCCTGTATAAAATTTACAATTGATCATCAAAATACATTTACAACACAATTACTGTATTTCAGTGGTCGAGTACAAAAAGTACAAAAACAAAACCATGAACAATAAAAATGCTACATACATAATCCATCTATACAAGTAGAAACAGCTCAAGACACTGTTTTTTAGACAAGCTTTTAGTTGACTGTGTAATTCCTCTGCACTGTAAAGCACTTTGTGATTTTTTTTAATCTGTGAAAGGTGTTATATAAATAAAAGCTTACTGTTTAGACTGGCGATGACCATCATAGTCTTTTTCAAATGTTTTTTTAAAGGTCAGGAATAGATATATTAAAGGTTTATTACACAAAATTGACTCTTGTAACCTATAAGCCATGTTACAGTGTTGTTACCTTTGTCTTCAATCTGCAAAGCACAAAATGCTCTGTTCCACCTTGTGATGTCATGTAGTGGTGTTTGTTTTTTTTAAACTTATTTTTTATTAAATAGCTGCTCGAAATGAGTTTCCTCCGCAGGGTGGCTGGGTGCTCCCTTAGAGATAGGGTGAGGAGCTCAGTCACACGGGAGGAGCTCGGAGTAGAGCCGCTGCTCCTCCATGTCGAGAGGAGCCAGTTGAGGTGGCTCGGGCATCTGTTCCGGATGCCTCCTGGGCACCTCCCTCGGGAGGTGTTCCGGGCATGTCCCACCGGGTGGAGGCCCCAGGGAAGACCCAGGACACGCTGGAGGGACAATGTCTCTCGGCTGGCCTGGGAACGCCTCAGGGTCCCCCCGGAGGAGCTGGAGGACATGTCTGGGGTGAAGGAAGTCTGGGAGTCCCTGCTTAGGCTGCTGCGCCCGCGACCTGGCCCCGGATAAGCGGACGAAAATGGATGGATGGATTTTTTATTAAATAATTTTCAGTGCAAGCCACATAGTTATGAAACAGCAGTAAAAATACAATACAAGTAAAATTACAATAAAGTTACAGTGTAGATGCAGTCATACACATTGTCCACACACAGTCATCCATCTGAAATATAGTCTTGAACTGAAAACTGAAGGGGGGGGGTTAATAGTTGATAGCTATCTTTTACATTTCAGTAAAAATTAGCGATTCCTGGACTGTGTTTTCTGTTTGAGAGAATAACTCAGCTTAAATATTCAGGTTTTGTGTGTTAAAAATGTGAACAAAACAAAACACAACTCCAGGTATGTTTGTGGTGAGAAAACAACATTATAACATAACAGAAAATTGTGTAATATGGGCCCTTTAATGATTTGCCTAAACAGGTTTTCTTTGGTCGGGCTCTTCCATCTCCAAACTGCTCCTGCCCTCAGTCGCTTCCTCACAAGATGATGCAGTATTTAACTTTGGATCATGGTGAACTTCGATCATGAGTTCATAAACCAGGGTCCCCACCAGCGCCCCCACACATGGAGCCACTACAGGCACCCACCACCACCCTCCTCCAGCCCTGACGAGACACAAAAATATATTACAAAATTATCAAAACGTATTAATATGTATCTCTGGCGCTCTTCCTAGTCAGGCAGTCGCATAGTCCTAGCCATTAAACATTAAAGGTGCACTATGTAACTTTTCTGGTAAAGGGTTGTAAATTCGTTTGTCCAAGGAAATGTTATTACTTTGCCTGGAATATTCCTCAGTATGGCATTAGTCTTGTCTTTCTTCATGGATGATTGTGCTACCAGCTTAAGTTCCAGGTCAGATCTGTGAAGATTCATTGGACCCACTCGTAACTGCATGTTTTTGGGGGATATTTAATTCAAGATATGTTTAATGACATACTGTGGAACATTCCAGGCAAAGCACTAAACCAACAGGTGACGGACCTTCCACCAGAAAAGTTTGATCTTTAAAGTGTATTTAGTATTCAATCATTTAGACCAAATCTCTACTCACCTAAACACATCGTCACCCCAACCTGCGAAGTACGTGAACAGTCGGGGCGCTAAGTCACGGGCCGGGTTCAGGGCGTATCCACTGTTGGAGCCCATGGAGACCCCTATGACCATCACTACTGCCCCCACCAGGACGGGTTGAATACCGGCGGGGATTGAGCCCTGCCCCTCGTCCCCAAGCGCCAGAACGCAGACGAGCAAGGCAGCTGTGCCTATCACCTAGCAACAGACACAAACAGAGGCCTCGTGAGGTCTGTGAAGAGGGGAATGTTTCACAACCTGAGGTCCATGGTCCCTCAGGAGACAGAGGAGCTCCCAGAGGTCACAGGCTGAGGTAAATGTGCTGTTTATGTTTGTTAGAACTTGTTAGAGTTCATAATTCAACATAGGCAGACCCACATCAAACTGGGAGTAACTGGGACTATAATCTGGAACTAAACCTGGACTAGACTAGCCAGGCTGACGCCACCTAGTGCCTCAATTTCATTTCTCTCCAGCGACTAGGTCAGAAATTGGAGTATACTGGAATATATTCTGTTTCGGCAACGATTCCCGAGATTGAGGATTTAAAGCCGGAACAAAGAGAATGTTGGGTGAATTTTTTCCAGGGGAAAGACATTATTGCCCTTCATCCTATGGGATTTGGGAAAAGCTTAATATACCAGCTAGCCCCGTTAGTGGCGCATTACATACGTCACGACCAAATAGCAGTGATTGGTTAAATAAAAAAAGTACTCGATTACCGTCAAGCGAATGAATCCTAACACTGTGAAGTCAGATGGTTTCTACGAAGTGAACAGACTGATGAATCAGGCTAGGACTAGATCAGGACGAGACCAGGACTAGAAGAGGAGTAGAGCAGGACCAAACCAAGTCTAGATCTTGACCAAATTAGGCTCAAACCAGGTCCAAACTAGCATTTCAGAAGTGTGAATGCACCCTTATTTGCAAAAGTCCACTACACTATCCAATGCCATAATGTTTTTGTATGTCTTTGTGTATAGAAAGAGAAGAAAATATTTAAGAAAATAAGTTTTGTCTCATCAAAATCTGGTGTCATTTATTTTTAAACAAATAATAAATAGGTTATAGGTTTGTTATGTAAACTGAGTGTGTTATGTAAACTGTGAGCGTGCAGAACATGATGTTTTCATGTGACCTCAGATCAGATCTACTAACCTCTGCACAACAGGATGGATTCTTGTGATATTTATGAGTTCCACATATCAGTCTACCCCACTCACTTCCATTTTACGCTACGGCTCTAAAGTCAACAAGTGTCTGAATATCTTTAACATTTTAGTGCATTTTCTTTCATTTTAACATTTCTTTGTTTACAGTTTACAAAAAATTATTATTATTTTTCTGACAGACCTGATCCACGAAGCCGGCCCACAGACTCAGGTACTCAGCGGGGAAGGTGCAGAAGATCCCTGCTGTGGCTGTGGGGCCGCTCACCGTCAGCTCTCCTCCACTGTACCACTTGATGGCCTCTGTCATAACAATACTATTCACTCAAGGTCTGTGTAATGTAACTGCAGTTGTTAATTTGTTTATTTTGGCTTTTACAGCATAATTAGATATGAGAGGTCCCATATTACACAAATTGATACTTGTGAGCTTTTAGCCTACTCAAAGACATGCATGGAGTAGTTTTACTTCATTCACACATGCTTGAGTAACACTTTATTATTACTCTCCAAAGCTGAAAATGAAAATGTTCCCCCTTGTGATGTCATTTAGTGGTAGCTTTCAAGTTAACAGCTACCTTTGATCTTTTGTTTAGTAGAAATGGCCAATTCAAGGGCTAAAATTATCCAAATAATTGTAGCAAAAATGTACAGAGTTTAAAAACACAGTGGAGCACTTCCTATATTGTCACAAAACATCACAAAGTGGAACAGAGTGTTTTCTGTTTGAGAGAAGAACTTAAACATGCGTGAGTGAAACAAAACACAACTCCAGGTCTGTTTTTGAAGGAAGGAAACAATCTTAAATGATAAATCAAAAAATAGTGTAATATGGGCCCTTTAATCCAACTTGCACCAGAAATGATCTATACCTAAAGATTTTTTACTTTATGTTAGTCAATCCTTTGTGTAATGATATATCTGATTGATGAAAATTATAAAATTATAAAAAAACAAACAAACAATAAAACACTGCAAGTACACTGAATGCCAACCCAGTTTATGATAGTAGCCTGATTTAGATATACACACCGTAGTATTCCAGACCAACAGTTGCTGCTCCTAGAAAAGCCCCAAGAAACTGGAAGAAAACATAAAATGGGAGTTTGGCCCAAGGGTGTCTGCCCAAAGCGCACAGACTCAGGGACACAGCTGGGTTCAGATGGGCCCCTGAAAAAACAACCAATAAAATAAAGTTAAAAGAATAATGTCAAACTGAGAGGAGACTGTGTGACGATTTGCAGCCTATGTAAGATTTACATTTTTTTGTGTATTCAGTTTTTTGCTCAGAATCACAAATATTAGACACATGCCGTCTACTTTCCCCCACCCCCTCCTCCTATTGGTCAGTCAGCCTCTATCCTCTGAGTGACAGACACATTTGACAAATCACAGTGAGGTGTAAAATCTCAGAAGAAAGATATTTTTATAAGAAGCTGCTAGTTTTACATGAATTGTGATAAAATGAAAACGTAATCCAAGCTCTAAAGAAGGTTGTAATTTTTTGTAAAATGGCCACAGTGAGTAATATATGCAGTCAGATTGCAGTTTTTTCCACACAAAATCACAAAAAACTTGAATAAATCTGCACTTACATTACATTTACACTGAATTTTAGGTTAAAAATTGATCTTCGGGTAACTGTATTTTAGTAGGCTTTCTATAAATGCGTGACAGTGTCCTACACTACAATAAAAAGTCCAGATATAAACTTACCTGACACTCCTCGTGAGACATAAACCCCAAATGTAACTCCCAAAGCAAAACCCAAGTTTATGGAGATATACTGCCCCTTCTGGTTCTGCGTGGTAGTGACCTGGGCAACTGAACCACATCCAAACAACTGTGGGAAACATAAGATAAACATAGTAAAAGAGATTTATTGTACAAACCTTTAAAACCTGATAGCTACTGTGTGTGTGTGTATCCAAAACAATGATTGTTTGTGTTCGCAAACTGGGCCATAAGAAGTTTTAATTATAGTTTAGATATGGTTGTCTCTTTTAGGCCTTATTGTGACACATTTTTACATTGAGTACACTGCACTTCACAGTTTATTATGTTTTGTTTTTGAAAAAATAACTCAAAAAATATCACAATGAAATACAACTGCCTAAAATTGTGCGCCATGACTGAACCACTGTCAAAAATCAAGCATTAAAAGTCAGTATACATTTATGTTTTTGGGTTATCGAATAATAATTTACTCTCCAAATTACTACATCTCACTCAGGCACCTCATACCACTCATTCTTTTACTTCCTCTGTTACTGTCCCCTGTTGCTCAGACCAAAGTCCCATTGGGTTATGCATTGTATAATTTCCACTCGCATTCAAATTCCACAAGACTTTTACACACCTGACTTCTTCACGCTCACCTGTGATTGCTTTTTGTTGTGTTAGCTGCTTAATTTATATCTTTTTTAACAAATAATACAAAACCAAGCCAGTGAAATAAAAAGTACATGCCAAAACTGATACTTACAATGATGATGTAGACTCCTAAACATTCAGCCAAACACTCCCGGACCAGATGATTCGTGATTCGACACTTTGTTAAAATCCTCTCCATCCTTAGGCCACTGATTTGTAGTACTAGAAGTGGTTGCTATTTAAAGTTATTTCAAGTTGTAGTACCACAGACTATCAAGGCACAGGAGACACTTACAGTTTTGCCCTTTCGTACCTCAGTCTACGTCACTTGAACTTTATGGTACCTGAAAAACAATCACTTGGCTTATGACTGTCTTAAAATAAATATAAATAAAAGTGACAATAATGTGGATCCTTGGCTTGAATTTGCACCTAAGTGAAGCATTTCTCACAAGAGAGAAAATAACCGGTTAAGTTAAATAATGTAACTTGTATTTAATATTAAAACTAATGAAAAAGCTTAATGTTTATTCCAGTTTGTGACATTAAATGTTATCTGTTATCAAATGTTTATCACGGTTACTTTTACTCATCTTATCAAATTTCATGAGAAAATGTTGGTACCTTTCATCATGAAATTTGATAAGACGAGCAAAAATAACCATGATAAACATTTGATAACAGATAGCATTTAATTTTCTTTTATGGCTTAACAGGAGCAATAAATGCTACTATGTCACGTCATTATAATCTAATCAAATAGTTTTCAATGTGGGGAACAAATTTAAAAGTTTTTCTCAATTCTTTTAAAAGGTGCCATCTTTGTATTCTTGTGGATTCTCTAGATTTTGAGATATATTCATTAAAGGGCCTACATTTTGTGCTATTTTATGAACTTTGTTATTGTGTTCTTCATCAAAAACATACCCAGAGTTATGTTTTGTTTCATTCACACATTTAACGCACAACTTCTGCATATTTAGCCAGTGTTCACCTCTCAAACGGAAAACACTCTGTTCCACCTTGTGACGTCATGTGATAATACACTGACTGATTTTTAAACTCCATACACCTTCATTAGAATCATTTAGATAATTTCAGCCCTAGACTTGCCAATCTCTACTGAACTAAAAGTAAAAGGTATCCATTAACTTGCACACAAAATGGAACAGAGCATTTTGAGACAGACTAATGATAAATGATTAATCAAACACATGTGAATGAAACAAAACACAACTCCAAGTATGTTTTTGATGAGGTAATATAATAAGACATAACACAGCTCAAAGTCTGTGTAAAACAATCAGAACTAGAACAACATATAGTCAATAAATTAAACATCTTTATTGAACACACGCACATTCATTCTGACCTTTCTGCAGGACTGTACAAAAATATATGTGAAAATATTGTCATTTAAATGCCCCAGGTTTCGACTGACAGGTTCACATTAATGTCTAACCAGCTGACACTCGCCTGACCAGCCAGTCCCGTTTGAATCCAAAAGAGTCTGGAATTGGACCACAAAGTGTGAGAAACCTCCGTCCAAAAAACCTGGTGCTTTGATTGTTGATTCTGAGAAAATCCATGATGTTTCTCACTATATGTTGTTTTTTTTCTCCTTTTTTAGTAGCCATGTTTGTTTTTGATGTGAATGGAGCATGTGTGTCTGTGATTCCACCTGTCAATCAAGTCCTCTAAAATCAGGTAGATAGGAAACAGCTCCAGATCCAATCGTCTTTGTAAAGTTTTGCCAAAGTGTGTGGTTCTGGCTGATCAGGTGAAGTTAACACAGCAATCTTGAATTCTCTGTAGTAAAGGTTTTGGCAAATAAAAGCATCTTAACGCACACTTTTTGGGTGAAACGTAAATCAAGAGAACCTACTGCTGCCGCAATTAGAACTTTTCAAGACTGAGAAGCCCCATGCACACAGACAACCAATTTCTTCATAGCTTCTGATTTCAACTCTTCAAATAAATAATACATTTTAAACACTTTTTGGGCTCCATTAAAAGGTGCACTATGTAACTTTTTAGTTGGGGGTCTGGCACCTGCTTGTTTCTACGATAATGCTATTGCTCTGCCTGGAATGTTCCACAGTATGACATTAAATAGCTATGCATTACATTTACATTACAGGTGGTTTTAGAGCTCAAGATACCTAGAAAAACAGGCATTCTTACTGTGCACGGGGTTGCTTCTTACAGATCTGACCAGTAACTAATACGATACTGTGAAACATTCCAGACAAAGCAATAACTTCTCCACGGAGAAAAGCATTTGACTGACCCTCCATCAGAAGAGTTACAAAATGGGCCTTTAACTCCTGTATTTTTGCTCACAGTGGGTTTTTACTTGAATCCACCAAAGAACTTGGAGAATAAAGAGTCGTCCCTCATGTCTGTAAAGGGCCGTGGAAGATCTGTAACTATAGAGAACAAAATTGAATTAAAGCTACTTCGTTAAGGTCTAGATGAACAGAGATTATGTTCGAGGGTTCAGACCTGGTTGTGGTCTTTCTTCATAGTCTGGTCCAGATCGCGTTACTGTGGTCTCCTCATTCCCCTGTCCATCTCTAACTGTGCGCCTTTCCTCTACACTCTGTAAAAGGAAAAAATAAAGAACATTTTGGCTATAAAAACCCTTGTCCACCTCCCTTACATCACTGTTGTTATTATTATTATACTATTATTCAGATTTAAATATGTTCTCTTACCCCATCCGGTTTGACCACTTTAGTGACAACAACAGACTGGAAGAAAGAGCGAGACCTTGGCTGTTGTGGGATTTGACCAGCAGGGGGTGTAAGTATTTGATCCAGGCCTCCAGCTGACACGGCAGAGTCTAGATCTGATGGAATATGAAATTAATTATTATTCTGTATAACAATAAGTCTTAAAACTTGGGTGTATGGATGAAAAAATATTACACCGACCTCTGTCTTCTTTGCGTTCATTTTCAGGGATCCTTGGCCTCAAAATGTCACCAAACTATAAATAAATACAGAATTAAAATACAGAACAGCTGCTCCTCAAGGACAAGGCTCAAAGGCTGACAAATAGTGAAGATGAACATGCTTGCTTGTAGTCTAAAGTCTCACTGATACTGTGTTACTCTATCACAATATGTCTTTATACTACAAACACGGTCATCTTCACTGTTTAAACTTTCAGAGATTTGCCGACAGAGGCGAAAAAAAAGAAAAAAGTTGATCTACATACTATTGATGCTTTGCAACTTATGAAAGCACTACTCTGTTCCGAGCTCTGTTCCTCAAATTAGGCCTTAATCTAAGCTTTATTTTAATGCAATCTGACCAGAAAGAGCTGAAGTACAACAGGTGAGACTTAATAAAAGTCTCTCACACAAAATTAGTCACAAGATAGTTAACATAAACCAACAGTTTTTCAGTTAGTCACTCTCACCTTTTTGTTGAAAATCAAACATCTAAACAGGACCATGAACACTCGTATTCACTCTCATTTAAATTTACTTATTTTAGACTATGTAATTCCATTATAGGTAGGACTAAATACAAATCTTGGATTTGACTGGATACAATCTTTTCTACAAACAGCGTCCCCATTCACTTTTAGAGCCTTACTCTTTGAAAAGGAGTCCAGCCATGAAAAGGGGGCTCGTGGGAAGGACCGAGGTCTTGTCTGGGCTGTGTGGGCTCCTGGGGTCGAGGGTCATCTGGACTTTTAAGCATGAAATCTCTGAGAGGATTTCCACTGGAGCCTCTGCCTTCACCACCTGATGGAGGAGTCCTAGGAACACCTACAAAAATCCATAGGTTTATCACCAAAACTGCAGCTTCAGATTTATAAGGCGACTTGTGCTAGAAATGCATTCTTATAATGAAATTAATGCAATAGACTGAGCAGGGTTTCTCATAAATCAACCAGTAACACTATTCTCTAAAACAGACCTGGGCATTGTCCAGCTCCTGGGCCACATAACTCTGACTGGCCCATTTAAGCTAATTTGGAATTACAAAATAAACATATTTCATAATTTTACCTCATTCATTTACTAAAGCTGCATTGTTTTTATTTTAGAGGTGTTTTTTTTAAATGATGAGATGATGATTTTTTTCTAAAGCAACTTCACTTTTTATTTAATTAATATTATACAGACATGAGTTTAGCATTTTGACCCGGACCTCCAGAATATTTTCTGTTTCTCATGTGCCCATCCCTGTTCTAAAACATAACATTTTTTGTGAATGCTTCTTAATTAGCATTCAGATTAGGAATAGGTGATAATGACAAAACTCATAACAATATTCAGATATTATGTCAACCCAACTGAAATGTACTCAAACATGTCTTCAAACATATTAGTTGAAATTTAAGTCTTAGTCAAATCATTCAAGATATTATCCATATTTTGATCATTAATCTGCCCATCCCTAAATAAGATTAAATAAAGACAATATATGACAATTTTACAATGTAACTGCATGTATTCAATAAAAGTAAGTCAAGATATTGTTGATGTTCCAGCAGAAAACAATGGGGAAAACCTATTTTGGAAGATTCTTTTTTCAGGGTTTAGGTTTTTTTCACCATTAAATCTTCCTAAGAGTAATCAGGTGATGTTGCTGTGATGTGTTTGGTCACCTGGTTTAAACAGCAACCACTCTGAAGAAGACTGCTAATGAGCAGTTGAAACTTTCAAAATCAAATCAAACCTTGGTCTGAAAAAATAATCTAATAAAATAAATTATTGAAAGAGCAAAATAACGTCTGGAACTGAAAGTATAAAATCTGTACCAAAATATCCAGGCTCCGAGTGTCCGTCGAATCGTCCCATCTGCGAGAACATCTCCTCCATCTCCTTCAGCAGCTGTCCGAACACGGGGGGCTCCTGGAACCTCATCCCGTCTGGACCGAGGCTGAACCCAAACCTCCAGGCGCTGTCAAAGGGGTCCTGTTGCTCCCCCCGAAAACCATCGTAATAAAACCCATCCTCATCTTCATCCTCATCGTCGTCTTCATCATGAGTCATGGCTTCAAAGAACGGGTCCCTACAATAAAGCAAAGAGATTACAGTACATTTATTTATGTAAGAATAATTTCATTTTTAAACTTAGAATATGTTATATGTTATGTCATATGTTGTCTCAGGTGTCAAAATGAACTCAATTACTCAATTTACTCAGTTGTTTTTATTTTTATTGGCTTTATGTTAATAGTTAATACAATAATATTAAAACTACAACTGTAACTTTTCTGTTAGAGGTTCGGCCGCCCTTATAGCACTGCCCAGAATGTTCCCCAGTATAGCATTAAACTTATCGTACTGTACATTTATTCAATTCCATCTTTTTTTTTATTGCTCAAAAATTCATTAGCAAGATCCATTCTCCACAGATCTCACCCAAAACATGGCCTGGTAGTGTTGCCTAATTGTCTCCATGGAGATAGATAAGTTTAATGCCATACTGTGGAACGTTCCAGGGAAATGGTAAAGGATCTCGAAAAAGACAATCAGATGAAGGCCTGCCCATCAAAGAAGTTACACATTGCACCTTTACTGTACAGATTAGGTAATTATGTTTTGAAATGTTAGTTGAATATGTCCACTAACTTAAGCAGCGTACTGTATGTGCAATGTGCATGAGACATTAATAACACAAATATAACACAAAACATAATATAACACAAAACATATCAGAGCAATCATGGAGTTAAATTGACCTTGGGCTAATCATAGGAAGCTTCTATTCATCTTATACCTTGCATGAGCTCATTGTGTAGTCTATTTGATGTCAATATGCGAAATGTTGTTTTGTGTAGAGTTAAATAACAATTAATATTTGACGAACTTTCATAATCCAACCTCGCTATAATGGACCCCTGTGGTAGACGTCCAGCGTGTAACAAGATTTACTTCTGATTGTTCACACTTTTGCAGGGTAAACTAAAGTGGTAAAAAACAATTACATAACGAGTTATTTTATCGATTACACTTCCAAACTCAACATCTTAACGCCACCAGATGTTGTTAATTATCTGTTTTATTTTGTGTTTTATTTTCATATAGACACAGTAATAATATATTTACTAGTTTATCAGATTATTTATCAGATTATTCTAGTTGATTTGGTAATTTAAACAAATTCAGAATAAAACTCTAGTTAGCCGCTGGTTAGCTATTAACTAGAAGTGACTGTGCTAACGTAAATCGTACCTTCGGCCGCGATACTGTCCTCCGGGAACCCCGAAAAACCCTCGAAACAGGTCGAAAACACTCATTTAAAGTGATTCTCGTCAGTAAAACTAGTTAATAACAAAGACATTTATGATGAAACAGCGCACGACAGAAACGACCTGCTGCAAATGTCAACAATGTCGTAAAGTGTCTAGACTTTTCGACATGACGAAATCTTACCGTAAAACAGAGGAAAAAGCGCAGTTAAATTCAGACTGCACCTTTCATGTTAGAACGGAGATTTGGGTTTTCAGCAGGGTTCAATGCCCATTTCGAACATAAAAATTACTTGGCTTAAATTAAGTATTAGTAGTAAAAAACAAAAACAAACAACAAAAATTGCATTAAAATAAGAATGGCAATTGTTGAGACTATTTATGTCTACTATATCTACAAATTAGATAGTACTGAGACAGGACCACTTAAGGATGCTGATGTTGAATAAAGTCAAACTGTCTCTACTCTCATCTTTGTAAAGTATATTTATAGCTGATAAAAACAAATTACTGTAGGGCTAGAGGCAGATACAGTTAATACCTTATGAATAACTGGCAAAGGAGAAATTCAATTTGTCAACTGGACAAATTTAATTCTGAAGAAACAGCTTGGATGAACTGCAAAATGTATTAGGCCAAAAAACCTTTTGTCCAGTTGACAAATTGAATGTTTCCTTCGCCATGGATTCTATCTGGATGACTGAGGGATTTTACATACATCTTATGAATAATTGCACATAATGAACACACCAAGAAATGGGCATAAATGGACCAAAGTTTGGAAGAAACATTGCTATATTTACAAGCCAGATGAAGAAACAAATAATTTCATAAAGACATTCACATCCAAAAATGATGAAAATGTCTTTTTAATTGTTTATTTACTTAATATTTATATATTTTTACAAAATAAAAAAAATATATGAAACAAAAAGCTAACAAGTCTGCAAGGAATCAAGAAGGGAAAGGAGAAAGCCATTGACAAACAGGGACTACAGTACTTGTTTTTTATATATGTACAAGACAAGTTTATCTGTTTAAATTTTAAAACGCACAGTACAAAAGAAAAACAAGTCACTGACAAAAAACATAGTACATTTCTGTTCATCAGTAATTCTTTGCAGTTTCTTTGTGTTGGGGACAGGCCGAAGAGCAGAGGTGGGGGGCTCAAACGAATGCAGGGCAGACAGGGCATACACTGGAAATCATTCTTAGCATTTCTTGCATAACAAGCAGGACCTTGAAGCAACATATTTATAATAGTTCATGGGACCATTACTGTACAAGTGTGGAATAATGAAAAACAAAAACAAATTTACACCATGAAAAATCCTGCACTTGGCAAAAACCAAGTGACAGTACACAACCACGGCCCCTTCATGTACAAACATGCACGCGATCACATGACAAACATACGGCCCACGTCTGAACCAGTGAGCTGGCTTATAGGACTTTATATATAATATATCTATATTTGGTAAAAAATAAACGCACAACTCTACCAATTTTGAGAATTGTTTCTTCAAACTTAAAACTCGTAAAAATTAACAGCAATTAAGCAAATTGAGTTGGGGCTTTTTGGGACAGACGGTTTTCCTCTGAAATTAAGAAGTGGGGAGTCGAGGGGTGAGAAATACAAAGCCAGCCTGTCCCCCCACCGTCCGGGTTCACTTCATCCTCCCCATAGGTAAAGAAAGGGGTAGAAAGAGACACAACTGAAAAGACCATACAGGACACTCATTCTTTTAGAAAACAGTTCTATGTTACATACAAGTGAAAGCAAAGGGGCGTAGGATTAACACGATACAAATTCCCAACACTCATAATTTCACCTTTAGATGGTGTTATTCGCTAAATATTTCGCTCCCCTCTCCCTCCCTCCCACCTCCCATCCATGCATGACTACTACTGCTTCTCTAAGCACAGCACCTGCTCCTCTTGGGACCAGAGCTGCCAGTGCTGGGCCAAGAGACTGGGAGGACTTCTTCGTGGGAGAAAGAGGGAGTTTAGATGTGGAGACTGTTAACAGAGGGGTAGAGCCCCCCTGCTGTTCTCTGTGTGGGGTTGTGGGCAGTAGGTATTAGTTTGCTCCCCAGTTGTAGCTGTTGTACGCAGACTTGTTGATCTGGGACTTCTGTTGGATGGTGGCATTCTGGCTGCGTTGTCCAGTGCCGCTCTGTTAAAAAAAAAAAAACATATTAAAGTTTCTTCAATAGATTTCAGCTTCAATATGTACTTATAACCTGACCTGATATGTTTAGTTTTCTGTTATGTAAAAACTCAACAAGGTTTAATTTGTATTTACATGAATGAATATCAAATAACACCTGAACCACAAACAATACGCATACTAGTCCATTATAATATTATTTGGACACTAAGGTAAAGGGAAAAAAAAAATATATGAATTTTTTTATTTATAATTTGTCAAATTTAAGGGATTGGATACCCAGCATATCCACAATAAGACAGACTTAACTAAACACGCATACAAAAAATAATAATAATAATAAAAATAAAAAATAAGTAAATAATAATAATAATGATAATAATAATGATAATAATAATAATAATAATAATACCCCCCAAAAAAAGGAAAAAATAATTTAATAATAATAATAATGGCTGTGTTTCAGGTGACACTGCATTCTATGGGCCAATATTAATTAATACAGATAAAAAATACCAGACTCAACATTTGTAAATTTAACTTTTGGTAATGAGAATCTGAAAACTACCAGTTGTATTTTATATTATAATGCAGTCTTATACCAGTTCTGATATACTGATAACTATTTTGAAAAGGTATAAACACTTTTCTCTCAGTATCTCTGTTGCAACAATATTCATTTTTGACAGCCCGATCCCGTACCTGTCCATCTTGCTGCAGGTGGTGGTGCAGGATTTGGGAATGGGCATGCTGTTGTGGCGCCAGGATGTGCATGAAGGGGGCCGGGGCGTAGCCAGCAGCAGTGGGGGGGTTAATGGGTCCTCCACTTCCAAGAGCAGAAGGCAGACTGAAGGAGGCCGCCGGAGTGCCCGCGTGGAAACCCTGCTTATCAAATGACTGCACAGAGACACAAGCCCAACACAAAATGGTGAGTAGGCAAGGTACAATATTGAAATTTTGGTGTCATGATGATCATGGATAAAATAATTGAGCTTAACGATTATATCATGATAATTATTACAGTTGCTGACAGTTTAAAAATTTGATTCATTATATTTCTAATATTATGAAAAAGTCCCATATTGAAACAACTTTTAGAAAATTGAACTTTGTTATAAATGAAAACAACAATGATCTAGAAAAAAAAACATCAAGTAGCTTTATTTGGTGCATTCTGGTGATAAAATGGCAATTACTTTTTTTGGCGATTAACACAATTATATAAAATGTTCCAAGAACGATTATTGTCTACCATTTTTCTCTCGATAAATGATATTATTTTTTAATGTCCCAGCCCTAATGGTGAGATCTTTTGATGGATAGATACGTTCTTTGGATGTTGAAATATTTATTACATTTTCACACTAGAAAACAAAACAATAACTATAATAATAACATAACATAAAAACAGGTCTAACATGTAAACGTATAAACATTTAGACAGTTGTTGCCATGGTTACCTGTGTCTTTGTATAAACGGACCCTGAAATGTCTGGAACCCCCGTGTTGCTCGACGTCACAGAAACTCCTACAGAAAAACAACAATGAGAGCTTTACCTTATAATTATTTTGTTTGTTATTACAGTTACTAACACAGCTGGAGTATATGGGGTTTTCTTCAATAAAATAATAAGGTTTTAGATGAAAAAGCGCTGTTCAGAGTTAATCAATGTTTGGGTAAAACAAAAATATCTTACTAGCGACAAATTACACCAAACAAAATGAGCATCATGCTGTCCACAGTAGTTTGAGAGCAAATGAGGTGTGATACAGACAGCAACGGCATATTTAAATAGCACATTTTACGTACTTCCACAACAGTCTTAAAATCATTAAGACTAAAATTAGTAAAGACAAAGCAAACAAGGGCAAATCTTGCTGGAACCAAACAAAAGCAGACAAAACAGAAAAAGAACTACCCAGAGCAACTCATCCACACGGGCCAATCACAGAGGATCTGATCTTGGTCAAGTATATGAAGTTTATCATGTGTTGATAAAGCATTTCTCTATTGACAGATAAATAATTATAGATTCAAAATGTTTTCTAGGACAACAGTGGACTGATGAGTTACCCTAGACGAGTACAGGGACAGTAGTGTTTACGAGGGCATCACTAGAGCAGCTCAGAAAGTGAACAGCGAATAAGCCAGGGGACAGAGGACAGGACAGGTGCTTGTGGTTTATTTGGCAGGTGGCAGACTCACCGACTCCGGGCCCCGTCACTGAGCTGGTCGGCTTGTTTTGTGCAGAAGCGGCAGCGGCCACGGCAGTGCCGTATCCGCCTTTACAGAAATCCCCACTCCCTGAAGCTTGGCCCACATCCTCATAGCCTGCAACAGTCAACACACAGCCACAGCCCACAGCATTAGACACACCAGGCAGGGACAGAGCGGGAGAGACAGGGCCAGCAAACCAGCTTCAACTGCACCACATGAGCAGGGTCTAACAGGTTTAGATGAGGCGTATGGAGGGGAAGGGACTGAAACTCACATTAACACCAAATGTTTCAGTGTTTGAGGAACTATTTCTCCATGTGGTTTAATACAGAGCTGTTATTTACAGGTCCTGCCTGAGCCCGGTCTGAGAGACGGGAGGGGTGAGGGGTGTGCCGAGATGTGAAGAGTGAGTGAAAGCAGGAAGCAGAAGCTGAGAACAAAGTGTCGGATGAACTGTGAGATGAGTGATAAAATATTAAATGAAACTTTACAGAAGAGGCTTGAGTAGCACCAAAAAGCGAGGCATCATGAAAACTAATGAGCGCCTGGACGCCCTGGTTTAAGCATTAATTTATGAAATGACCAAAGCAAACTACACAATATCCATTGGATTCTTTTAACCGAACAAAAACAAACTGACTTTTCATTAATTGAGGGATATTCAATAATTGTGTTCATTAACACGTTCTTTTCTCCCGTCAGCTCTTACCAGTGCTGTATCCATGGGAACCATAGCCACTCGCTTGTTGAAAGGGCGTGGCTGATGCGTTAACCCCAACATTCACTCCGTGTTGTTTTGACGAGGTAGGGGCCACCTGCAGAATTTGATGAGCAGTATTAAGCACCAAGCAGCACGGATGAACAGATCACATTAATTAAAAGAGCCTGTATCAGATTTTCAGTCCATCAAGTTCAGAACCAACCAACTAAATCAATACACGGTTTCCGGCAGTAGATGTGAAGCACCAGACCTGTGAATGCAGCTAGACTCAAAATAACAGCCTGTGACTATCGCAGACAGTTGTTGATACTAAAACATATTCACTACTTATGAGAAGGATTTTAAAGGGCTTTTATCAAATTTTTATGTTATTCACTCACCGGAAAGACTGGCCCGTACTGGAAGGTGTTAGGAAGGCCGGGCATCCCAGTGTAAGCATAGGGGAGACTCGTGTAGCTGTATCCAGGGGGCAGTCCGGGGTTTAGGAAGGGCTGTTGCGTCGTGTGGTGGGTCTGTGTCTGGTTCTGTTGTGTTTGGGCTAATGTGGTGGCAGGGGCCGGAGAAGAGGCATCACCGCGCCCAAATTTTGACAAATCCCCTGGAAAAAAAAAAGAAAAAGACAAACATTGCTTTAGCTCATAAACTGTATAAAGAAGTGGCCTGAGGGAGTGTGACGTCACCCACAGCGCTCCGCTCCAGACAAATCTCACAAGGCTAGCAGTTATAGGGATGAATTTGGAGCAGAGTTCTGCATTACGAATAGGAATTTATTTACAGACAAAATAGCAAAATAAAAACGCCAAGATCACGTAGAGTGGGTTAATATGAACATTTTAAGACCAAAATAATGAGGCTCACAGTAGCAGTTACAAAGAAATATTAACTTAATTGGACACAGAGTTGATGGAGCTGGAAGCGCCCCAAGCAAACTTCCTATTTGGAACACGGCGGCTTTGGGTTAGCTATGTCCATTTAGGTATCAGTCTGACACTTGTGATCAGAAACATTAAGGTGACCTCCTGAAATAGTTGCATACGTGTGACAAGATATATATTGTGGTGGGACAGACTGACGTTTGGTAGAAAAAATGAGTTATAATCAATATAAGCAAGTGAAAGCAATGGTCACCAAAAAGTGTAACTGTTACTGTATTGCTTCTTATTTTATTCTATTTGTTGTGTTTTGTATGCATCTATACAATTTCGTGTGGCACATGAAAAAGTGAGACATTATTTACAAATACAAGATGGGGGACAAAGGCCTGAATAGCTGTGGAGGGCAACCAAAGGAAGGACAAGTGGTCGCCCTAAGAACATCTAATTTCAGGTCAAATAAAGGTTTAAAAAAGGTGCATCGTGTAACTTTTTTTTAGTGGAGGGTTTGTCTAATGCTTTTCTCCATGGAGATGTTATTGCTTTGTCTGGAATGTTTCACAGTATGGCATTAAACCTTTCTATCTTCATGGAGACCAAACCAAGTCAAGTTACAGGTCAGATCTGTGCAGAGGTGACCCCACTCACAGTCCGAATGCCTGTTTTTCCAGGTGTTTTAGAGCTATAAGCACGTGTAACTGGATAAATAGACAGAGCTGTTTAATGTCATATTGTGGAATATTCCAGGCAGAGCAATAACATAAAAAAGTTACACAGTTCACTTTTAAAGGTTTAAAGGTTACACTGACATTTGTGAACAACTTTTCAATCAGATTTGACCCTGCTTACCTGAATATGGGTTGTTTGTCAAGCTGCCTTCTCTGCCGGTCAACGCTGTGGTTGGAGTTGGAAATGGAATGCTGTAGTAATCCTGAAAACAGAGATACTCTCATGTCAAAACTGATACGAGAGAAATAGTGCAAATTAACTTCACATAAAACAAAGGACTCACCAATGGTATTCTCGTCTGCAGCATCTGTAGGTCATCATAACCATACACCTGAGGCTGCAAAATTATTATAAAGCCAGTCACAAACTCTTTCCAGATTATGTCATGTCAATCATAATTTCATCTTTTTCTCATTATATATAGCTTGTATATAACCAAGATATATTTGTATTACTATATTTATATATTTTATTTTTACATTTATTCAATTATGCCTTATTTGACCCGTCTTTTGATATTTTTGCTACCTATTTTGTATTTACCATTTATATTTTTGCTCTTATTGTATGTTTTTGCTGTTATTGTATTATATTGTGATGTGTAAGCTACTGTGTCCAGATAATTTCCCTTGTGGATCAATGAAGTTAAATTGAGACTTCGGCAAAATCTAGACAAACACTGTAAAGAAAATATTGTTGTGATTAAAAGTAAATTAAGATAAAACTCACTGGGTACGCATGCAGTAGTCCAGGAGCCATGATGTACGGGTTGGGCAGTAGAGGGGGCACTCCAGGTGGCAGGTTAGGAGGTGCTTTTCCTGTACAAGAGGATTTTATGCTTGGTAAATCATTTTTCAATGGCTGCAAAGTGACAGCATGAAGTTAAGCAACATCAACAAGAGATGAGTCAAGATCAAATTTCCTCCAAGTTGAGAAAGTGTCTGTTCCAGGAAATGGACTCTGATAAAACCACACGGCCCATATCCTCTTTGATTAAGATGATGTTAGTTTTAAGTCAAGCAAATTAAGTCAGTAATTTCATTCATTCAACTAGGTGGCAAAAATATTACACTGCATGTTTTTTTTTTTTTTAACTTTTATTTTTCATTTGGCTCTTTTTGCTGCCTCAAGTGTTTTTTTATTGAAACCATATACCATGCATTTTAATTTTGAATAAAACACGAATCATCCATTTTTCCTTATCTCTCTCACTTCTAAACACAAGTATTGTAAACAAACAGTCCAGTGGCTCTCAAATTTTCCACACTCAAGATTTGGCTTTTCAAGTACCACTAGATCTAAGACAGGTCTATAATAGGACTATTCAAGGTCTAAAGAAGGCCCAAATTCCAACATTAGTTCAAATGAATGACTGACTTAAAAGGTGGAAAATAAATGGATATGAATAGAAAGGACACAAAATAAAGCGAACAGAGTTTTACAGACCACTGGGATTATTGATAAAATAAGGAATTTGTAGAATAAAAGCAGGAGTAGGAAGATTTTAGTCACCTTTGTAGCTTACATCTTGAAGGTGCACTATGTAACTTTTTGGTTGGGGCTCTGTCACCCGTTTGTTTCTATGAATATGTCACTGCTCTTCCTGGAATGTTCCACAGCATGACATTAAACAGCTCTGCCTTGCATTTATTCAATTACAGGTGGGTTTATAAACAAAAATACCTAGAAAAACAGGCATTCTGACTGAGCGAGGTTGCCTCTCCACAGATGTGACCTTTAACTTGGTCTGGTTTCGTGTCCATGATGATAGAAAAGTTTAATGCCATTACAGTCAAACATTCCAGACAAAGTATCTCTATGGGGAAAAGCATTGGACAGACCCTCCACCAGGAAGGTTACACAATGCACCTTTAAGACCCACTTTTATTCTCTTTCTTTTAACATCATATGAGTTATGTGGTCCTTTGTGTCTTTTATTTTCATATTTATTGTCTTGATCTATTTTATTATTTTTAGTACTACTTTTATTGATTTCATTATTTTTATTATCTATTGTTTTTTTAAATTCTGCTGACTTTATAGTGTTAAATCTTTTACACTGCTATGTACAGCACTTTGGAAACTAATATAGAGCAGATTTATATAATAGTAATAAATAATGTCTAACCTGAGGACGCTGCAGAGCTCCGTGAAGATGACGAAGTGGCCGATGACGGGATGGAGGAGGCCACAGAGGAGACCGAGACAGTAGCAGCGGCTGCAGTAGGTACTCCCATAGACCCCGTGTTGAGCCCCATGGCCAAACTACTCACAGGACCCAAACCAGAGGGGGCGGAGACTGTGGCCGGACCCACAGAGGAGGCCTGAGGTCCCCCTAACGAGACCTGGGCCGCAGCCGCCACCGAGGAAGAAGAGGGGACCGATGAAGAGGGGGCGGAGGAGGGGAACGAAGAGGAATGTAGGCTTGAGTCGCCATCTACACTGGGATGCTGAAAGGGCAATAGAGAAAGAAATATTATTCACAATACTGTAAGAATAGAAGAATTAATCAAAGCTACTTGAAGCCAATTCTCACCAATAAGCTTGAATTCGACGTCCTTACTGAAGATGGCCCAAGGTTATTTTGTTGTGACGAAAGGGAGCTGTGCAAGAAAACAAGAAAATGAATACAATTACATCTACATACAGTTACAACTATTTTAAAGCCTTGTTTGGGTGATTACTCTAGAAGTTTCTGTCTCTTTTTCCAAAGCAGTAAAAGCATAGCAAGGCATGGCAAAGTATAGCCCAAACCATGTATCTGCTAAATCTGTTATGTTTCCGTTTGCTATATTTATAAATATTATATTAGAACTGGTTTCAAGATGATGCTATGACAGAGGAATAAAGGTTAGGCCTAAGCTTAATCTTCAGTCTACATTTTTTTTGGTCTCTGTACGTTAAATGTGACAGATGTACCTATGACCGAAATAAACCAATCAGTCCGTAACTCAGTTGTGATATTACCCGACCTCTACAGCTACGACACCAGTGAGTTTGATTTACAGTTAAAGAACGACAAAAACATACTTGTTGTGTTGAGGGGGAGGATGGGAGCTTGGAGGCATGTCTTCACCATGGCCCAAAGCACTGAGAGACGCTTGATTGGATGACGTCAACATGGAGGCGGGCCCTGAACCGTTGTCTGTCAAAGTGCCCATGTTCGAGACCGTTGTGGGTGCAACCGAATCTGGGGTGGACTTTACCGCAGAGCCTGCTGCAGCTACAGACAGGAAGCAATTTGTGAACAAACAAAATACAATAAAATGAAATACAAAGCTCTGCAAAATAACAATTTGACAAACAGAAATCTACCTTCCACTGATTGCGTTGCTTGAATTGAACTGAAGCCATTCTGTAAAACCAAGAATGAAGGTGAGCTCACAGGTTTCTATGGAAACAGCCCATTGACAAAAAGTTAAAAAACGTAGGGCAAGAGCTGGGTAATTATGCACAATTTAAATCGACACATTATGAAACATTTAATTAAAAGGGAGCAATAAGGACAACTATGCATGATTTAATACAACCTTGGGCTGCATGTCCTTCTGTGGGGAAGAGGAAACCGATGGAGGATAGCGCCGGGACTGAGGTGGTCTCTGGTCATACATATCCATTTGACTGGAGTTGGAAAGAGCTGCATTTGACTCACTGTAGATTTAAATGGCATAATATAATTAGCATGTTTTATTACTAATTTTATCCCAAACTCAAATCTTGCACCCACCTGTTCGGGCTAGTATAGAGGCTGTTCTGGACTTGGTTGGCTGGTGTGGTGGTGGCCGGGGTGGACTCGTAGTCTGGCAGCACTGGCTCTGACCCAAACTGTAAAGCCCCAAATTGAAGATTAAGCCCTGAGATGTCCGCTGACCCAGGCATCTCCACTGCCATGGCTGGAATCTGCAAAGAAATGTGGGAAATACGAGATAAGGTGAATAGTCCCGATGAGTCTGATGTAAACTTAAGTATATTAGAACAGTCTCATAATCATACCTTTGTTGTGATTGTTGCCCTTTTCTTTTGCTGTTTGATTTTATGCTGTTGCAAAGGCAGTGGACTCGAACCCTGTGCATCGGAGGAACTGGGAGAGACTTGCTGACCTAAAGACTGGACTGCCATCTTGGGAAGGGAGGACGCTGGAGGAGGAGCCATATGGGGTGAGGAGGTCGGCTGTTGGGGCAGAGATGAGGAGGAGGAGACAGAAGAGGGAGGCAGGCCTTTGTCCTGCAGGAAAACATCTAACATGGACGAGGTCGATGTGGCAGTCTGGTACGGCTGCCGCTTCGTAAAGGGCGTGTGCACCGCTGAATCTTGAGCCTTTATATCTGAAACACAAAGAAGCAATTTATAGTTTGCAAAGAAAATTATGAGTGAAATAGGGACTGGAAGAAATTAAATGAGATGAGAAGATGAGGCATAGAAAATCAGTGTGATCAATTCAGATTGGAAAATTCAAAAGACCATGGTATTTTAAAATGTGCAAGATAGTTTGGAGCAGCAGTACATTGTGCTACCCAAAAATCTGTGGTTTGAACACAACTCGGACTAGTACTATTGTTGTGTCATTGGGAAAGACACCTTACCCACCTCGGATTTATAGGAGTATGGAAAAAGTGAGTGAATGATGGTGGCTGGAGGGGCAGATATATTGGCAGCTTTTTGAGAGTCTAGAAAGGTGATGTTATTAAATTAGTAATACTTGATAATCATACCCAATATTTGATGGCTTTACTAATATACTGTCAATATTCACCCATCCACATCCTACTCATTGAGACAACTTTAAATCCTAATGATGTTAAACACACTTATTTTGAAGCATCAATAACATACAATAATGCTGACATGCTGCGATCATACCATACTGTCCCAGGGAGGCGTTGGTGTCCCAGGATGAAGGGTTTGTGTTGGGGGGTCCCGTCTGGGAGTGCTGCGCTGCCAACTGAGCCAGAGCCTGCGCTGTTTTATACTGCTCCAGGAACTGAGAGCCGGTGGTTCCTGTGGTACCTCCTTTAGGGTCCCCCACCTCCCCAAAGCCTTTGCTCAGCATGCTCACCTGGAACAAATGCAGTAAGTGATTATTAGGGATGAGATTTATGGAGGTGAAAGGTAAGGTAGACAATATTATGATAAATTTACCATGCTGTGCTGAGAGTAAGGAGCTGTGGAGGATGTTTGGGACAGTGGACCCCCTTGTTTGGAGTTGCTGAAAACCAGTGACTGGGACAGTGAGGGGGGCTGGGGGGTTTCCATAGGCGGGTTCTCTGTCTCTGAGGACGAGGGAGCTGGGGTCTTCCCGAGAAGCACTGCTAGGTCGATCCTGCGTCAAGAAAAAAAAACAAAAAACACACACATTAGTGAAAGTCTTACAGGGTTTTCAAGGCTGACAACTAGATTAATGAAATATGTTTCTACCATTTCACCAGAGGCACAACGTTGAGGAATGTTATGATGTAACAAGCCTTAACGCTGCTTCATGAATACAGTGACCTCAAGAGGTAAAAACCCTTCAAGTTCATAATTTGCAATCATAGTTCTAATCAGATTTGCTTCACGGTTTCAAGTTTCATGGCTGGGAACAAGTCCAAAATTGAGTTACAGACGTTGTACTAGCATAGTGTTAATTTGCATATCACTTTTAGTAGTATATATCTTGGCACCATTTGGACCCATACAGCTTTAGTTTATCCTAGTTTGTACCTTTGTCCTTTAGTTATGGTGACACTCTCTTGAGGAATAGGCATTGACGCCACACTGGATGCTGTGAAAATCTTGGTCTCCGAAAGCTACGGGGAAAAATAAAGAACCTTATTAATGACCTCATATCATTAGACCCATTGGATGCACCAGTTAAACTCCTTAGATAGGCTAAATGCTTCAATGTGGTAAACTACGGTACCCACATCTTCATTCCAGTCTTCAGTGCCCCACTCTTCTGTAGGAGTCCTCCAGGCACCTATGAGTCAGGGAAACCATTCAGTACACTCCAGAGGGGCGAAGTAAGTTTAAACTAGAATAAATGCATAAATCAAGGCAGATGTGAACTTACCCGGAGTGGAGTCGAACTTGGGCTGGTAATTTGTTCCCTCTCCTGCAGAGTACTCCACCCCTAGAATTAAAGCCAGTGGTTACGTTACTTTGATAAATAAACCACTCGCATATTGCATCAGTGTACCGCTTTCTCCAATAGTGAGATACAATGTTATTCACAGCACTAGTCAATATTAACAGCCCATTTGTAAAAGATCCAAAACAGAATCAAAAGCAGCTACATATCATATCACACTTGACTGTATTATTGGTGGTTATGATAAACAAAAACTCCCACCAAAAACCTGACATTTACAAATAAAATTCCTTGGTTTAAGCTGCATGAATTTTTCCTGTTACAGATGCCATTTTGTGGACTTTGACCATTTAAAATATATAATATAAAAGGTGCACTATGAAACTTTTTGGCTGGGAATCTATCACCTGCTTGTTTCTATGGCTGCGTCTGCTCTGCCTGCAATGTTTCAAAGGACAGTAAAACAGTTACACTTTACATTTTCATTAAATTAAGTCTTACAGCTCAAAAATACCTAGAAAAACAGGCATTCTGACTGTGAGCAATGTCAACTCTCAACAGATCTGACCTGTAACTTGGTCTAGTTTGGTCTCCATGAAGCTAGAGGTTCAACACCATACTGTAAAACATTTCTAGACAAAGCAATAACATCTCCATGGAAACAAGCATTTGACAAACCCTTCACCAGAAAAGTTACACAGTGCACCTCTAATTTAAATGGTAATGGCTTTCATCAATCTAAAACCTATTTACAAAAAACTGTTATATGCAGCATTTTGAGGACTCGTTTTATTCAAAAGTTATAAGATTTTGTTTTGAATTATCAATTTCTATGGCAAAGGTCCTTATTTCTCATCATTCTGAAATCCATGGATAGATACTTTGCACAAAGTAAATCATTTTACTCAACATACTAGTGCCTTCTTCAGCCTCCATGTTGCCCGTGTTGTTCCAGGTACTGCCTCCTCCATAGTTTTCGTCTGTCTGGGCTGGCTCAGCATAATCAGCAGGGTTAAAAGTTCTGGAAAAGATTTAGAGGATTTACAATTGACAAGATTATGACCTACTATGACCAAATAGCTATTATAGACTACAGATATCACAGATTGAAGCGGACAAAAGCAGCCAAATTTAGGTCATGTCTTTCCATACAAGACGACATTTGACTGCCATTTTGAGATTTCTGTCAATTAATTAGCCTTTAATTAACAATCAATTATTTTGTAGCTTCTAGTTCAGCTTCAAACAAGCAGGAGCAAACTACTGGTCCCTTTTCAGTGCTTATGTCTGTATAAAGCAAAAACAAAAGCAAAATCCCACACCAGACTGACTCACCTCTCATCTACTGCATTATCACATGAAGACGCCCTATCAATCTGGCTTTAGAGACAAAATAAATGGGAATAATTACAAAATAGCAGAGCCAGACAAGCGTTTTTGGCCATACAACTGTTCATAAAAGCAGCACAGCTTAATTTCAATTACCCAAGCTCACATAAGGGTAAATGGTGTTGTTGACATCAGAAAACGCATAGCGATAGAGTTGCATTTAGCATAATTTGGTAAAGCAAAGCAAGCTTGTTCAAACTGGCCTAACAATGGGTTGTAATGAAGACTGAGCTTGACAACCTGATATTCATACAACAGTCTCCTTGAAAACCAATGCCATCACACTGAGAGACAAGCGTTAATGTTTAGCTAGCAACAAGCAGAGATGCACTCAAATCTGTTGTCTGTTTCCTCTCAAATTAAAAGGCCCCATATTATGCTATTTTCTGATGTTATAATGCTGTTTCCTCATCACAAACATAGCTGGAGTTGTGCTTTGTTTCATTCACACATGTTTAACACACAAACTCTGCATATTTAGGCTGGGTTTTTCTCTCAAACAGAAAACACTCTATTCCACCTTGTATAATTTCAGTAGTTAAGCAATCAAACTCTACTGAACAAAAGGTACAACAGCCACCCTGTTAACTTCTGAACTACATCACTACATAACATAAGGTGGAACAGAGCTTTTCGAGCTTTGGAGATGTAGACAGCCTAATAATAAAGAATTACTCAAGCATGTGTGAATGACATAAAACACAACTCCAGGTGTGTTTTTGAAGTGGTAACAACATTCTAACAATGCTAAAAGCTCACAAGAGTCAATTTTGCATTGCATAGGACCTTTAAATAAATACCCAAGTGCCATCTTCCGTTAAACAAGGAGGAACAGTTAAATTCCTACCACAATAGGTCAACAATTTACAAAATATTTCAGAACACTGCATGTAAATGTAAGCACGGTGCACCATTTTAACCTGACACTAAAAGCAGCAATAAATAATAAGGTTAAACCCAGTAGTATAATTTGCTAATGGTGGTGACTTCTGTCCTTTGAGTGTGTGTGTTTCACTCCAGACAAAATTGCAACTAGAGCTGCACAACTTTGAAAAAATAGTCTAATTGCCAATTTTTGTATTGCGATTTGATTAAATTTGCAATATAGGTTTAAAACAATGATTCTGATACTGCAGAATCGTTAACATTTTAGAGAAGAGTGAAATATGAAATGATAAAATACATCAATTTGATATGAACAGGATTTTTTCTAATTGAGATTTCCTTTTGAACGTGATATAATGTGCAAATTATATTAACACAAGTTTGCAGAAATTATACCCTTACACTACTATATCACACTCTCTATCCATCTATACGAAACTGGGTGAATGTTCAGCCAGACAGACTTCCTCCTGTTGTCACACCTCAACACAAACACTACAAACTGCCAACAAAAAAGCAGCAACAGCTTTGACCACCAAGGCAAAGTGCAGATACTTGAGCATATAGCTTTCTAAAGGCATACAGTCCAGTTGGCGCACACATGTTCCAGTCTCCTCAGGATTAAAGCTAAACAATGGGCTCTGGTCCTGCTCTTTGGTGACCATGGCAACAGGTAAAAGTGAAACAAAGGCCTTCTGCTTTTAGGCGGCGCAGGTGTTCCCTTACCCCATGCCCTGCGCAGAAAATCTGCCTCCTCGCCGTCCGGACGCTCCTGCAACCACAACAATAAGAATTTGTTAGAAAGTTGTACATTGTTATTGTTACATCCAGTTTAATATTATAGTCTAGTGAGAGACTTGTTGCTTTTTTAATGTAGCTTTAGCTGTTTGGTCCCGCTAGTGCTGATTGTACATAATTTTTTTTTTTTTACCAATTTGCTATGATAGTTTACAATTCTGTCATGTATATTATGTTGTTTGATGCTGTGTATATTTGTTGTTGATCTGTAAATGGGGAAAACAGGAGAAAAGGTGCAACTAACTCCTGACATGTCTTCATTGCTATGCACTATCCATGACAAATGAAGAGTTCATTTACAAAAACTGATAAATGTCATTTGAAAGTAAGTGGAAGCTTGTAGTTTACCCAAAACCCAAATCTAGGGGTGTAACGATATCCAGTCTCATGATACAATATCATCATGGTATAAACCTCACGGTACGATATTTATTGCGTTATCGCGGGAAAGCTCACGATATGGTGGGGAGGTTCACGATTAGTGACGTAACAATCTCCAAATCTCTTAGTATGATAGTTTCACAATATGCATCTCACGGTATGATATTTATTGCGATATTTTGTGGAGGTTAAACAGCTAAAACTGTTAATGTGCTAATTTTTCCTCTTAAAATGCCTCGACAAGACTTAATCCAAAGCACTAAGACTTAAAAGTGCTTGGAACTGTTATTTCTTCTTGTAGTCTACACTGAAATGGAGCAAAGAACCATGGTCTATGTAGTTCCCTCTGTTCTTTAGCTATTGCTGCACCATAACTCTTAATTTAAGCAAAGAGACTTGTAATTCGATATATTGTGATGGCCCATGATATTACTGTGAGAACTTTGACGATACAATTCATGATATTTCGGTTATTCTTACATCCCTACCCAAATCTATTTTACTATTATCACCACTACAGATTATTGGTAATATAGCTAGAGGAAGAACAAAAACAACAAACCTTTCTGGCAACTTTTCAGAACGGGAGGTATCTTTTTTTGTTACTGAACTCTTCAAATATAAATCAAACATACAGTATGACTTACCAACTGCTCCTCTTCCTCTGCCTCTTCCTCTCCGACCTCGTTCTGCTCCTCTTCCGACGACTCCGGCCTTCCCTCCATCCAAGCCGTTCTCCTGACCACGAACTGAACACAAAATATTTCAAGTAGCCAAATTAATGAACTAAAAGATTAAAGACAAAACAACATATTTAAAACCCATTAAATAATAGATGAAGGGAAATAAATGTAAACCATCTGGAAGCATACTTTATTTCACTTCACTTTTTATTTTGACTTGCTGTACGGTGTCCTTGAGTGTCTTGAAACGCACCTCATATACAATGTATTCATATTATTATTACTTGTAGAAGGCAGCGGTATGCCAAGTGATTAAGTGCATGTTGCCAAGTTATAAAATGACAATGTTTAGACACATAGAGGACACATTAGCAGCTAGTCCTGCTTTACTGCCTTTCTTCAAACCAGTCTACACTTGTTAGTATACGCAAAACACGATTTGCCTATAACGAACATACCCAGAGCTTTAGACATTTTTACTAAGGAAGATACAGTCATGCAATAAAATGTGTTGGGGGGGAATGTAAATAGATGGCATAGTGATGAAGCACTTTACCTTAAAGGTCCTATATTAAGCTTTTTTTTTTTTATTGAGCTTGAAGCCATGTTTGAATGCTGGTACTTTCTCAAAAACATGGAAACCTGTGTTTTCTTTCATTCACACATCACATATTTGCATAACCCTTTATTATTAATCTGTGTACATCTCCATAGCTCAAAATGCTCTGTTCCACCTTGTGATTTCATGTAGTGGTAGAGTTCACGTTAACAGCTACCTTTAATCTTTAGTTCAGTAGAGATTGGCAATTCCAGGGTTGAAATCGTCCAATATTATGAACTCAGCCTAAATATGAATGAAACAAAACACACCTCCATGTATATTTATGATGAGTAAACAACATTAAAACATACAACACACGACATACAACATAAAGAGAGTTCTTGGGCTGTTTTGAATCTTAATCGTGAAATATTGCAGAGACAGAACATTCTACTGAAAACAGCAGTATTTCTACAGAGAGGTCTCACTAATGCACTTCTTACATTTCACATTTGCCAAAGTGGAAAAGTAAATAAAGTTGTGGACATGCAGAGAGCCCAAGACAGAAGCTTATCGGGACTCTCAAGCCTTTTAATGCAACATCCACTCTTAGGAAAATGCCACCAGTGCATTAAAGCCAAGTAGCATTACCCTTCATTAGGACAATGTAGAAAGACAGTCACTAACACACCAAGAAGGGCTGGGCAGTTAATGAAAGCCTAATCAAGATTGAGATTCATTCATGTCTAATTGTCAATAATATGCTTGGGAGATATTAATTGCAAACTCTACAGCCAGTCTCGAGTCAGGAAAAACATGTTCAGATTTTGGAGGAAGAAACTTTACTCCTTTTGTGTCAAATGTACTGATTAAGTTTATCCTGTTTATGAAATCAATAATGAAAGCCCTTTTTATTCACAGAAAATCAAGATTGTGATTCATCTGCAATATTGCATAACCCTAAAGCAAGAGTAATTTAAAAGGGAGTACACAATTTATAACATTACTGAACTTGAAATGAAAAATGACAGAACTATAGCTGCTTACTTAAATGTAATATGGGCCCTTTAAATAAATATCAGCAGTATCACATTAACATGATACTATCTTGACATTACATGATACCATCTTGAAAATACGACAAAACCAAACAGCGTGAACACAGCACAATGTCATACACTAGCTTGGATATTGAAGACTGGCAGAATACATTTATAATTTTCTTCAAAGACAGAGAAATATCTTTAGTAGATTTTAAGCTGGAAAGAGGCTTATTGAGTATTTTTGACTGACATTAAACATGCTGGAGTCCCTTGAAGTCTCAGAAAAATCAAAGATGAGACACTCACACTCTCGCCCCCTGCTGGTTCCTCCGCGACCCTTGCGCGGAGCTCCACCTCGGCGACGTGCTGAGTCCCTCTCTCCTCCCTTCTCCCGATTTTCCTTCCCTTCCTCTCCGGTCTCTGCCTGGCTGCTCTCCTTCTGACCCGAGACGCCTTTCTTCTTGCCCACCATCTCCCAAGAGTCCTGGGAGAGGAGCGAGAAACAGTGTGCTTTGTACAAATGTTCCGTGGAAATCAATACGGGAACTGTGAACTAGAGTTGTATTTTAAAATGCCCCATAAAGCTATTGATTTTGGAATAAAAGGTTACGATAAGCTTAAGGGCTAGCGGCATCTCCCACTTCCCTGATAGTAGCACGATTTTAATTTTAGCAAGGTTTTGAGAAATCAAATTTCAATAATACAGCTACCCAATTTCACATGGAACAATCCACTCCAACACCAAGGGCATCTGGGGTAAACTGTGTAACAAAAAATAAATTTAATTCTGGACTTTTGTGCAACTTGTTGCCCAGATGTGTCTTGGAGAGGAGGAGATACAAAAACGGATTATGCAATTGTTTTGATGACACAAAAAAGTACAGTAATAACCTAAGGCTACAAAATAGCTGATCCAAATAAAACAAACTTGTAGAGTAATCTGTCCAGGTTATTAATGTTAATTTAACAGATTTAACATTTACATGATTGTTTAACCACATTTCTGATTGTCATGGTATTGTCTGAATATCTGGACAATTATTTTTTGTCAATGTTGCCTACCCCAACAGTGTTGATTTGTTAGTATTAATAAGTACCAGGTCAAGAAGACACCAAAAATCAATGATATTTACTTTGTAGTTCTCACAGCCACTCCTTTCATCTTCATATTGGCTGCATCAGTTTGCCAACCCTGAGTCCCTAATAATGTTACTTCCTCATAGATCCTGTATCATATGTAACTAATCCAGGAAGAAACCAATTCTTCCAAAAGCTGGCATTACTCACAGTGTCTGGGCTACCCTCCAGCAAAACATTAATGGCTCTGTTGACATCTCCGTTACAATCGTGCAGAGCTATCATAGACTCGTCTTGGTCCTTGCCTGTGATGTCAATCAGCTAAAAAATAAACAAGAAAAAACAAATCTCAGAAATCACACAGGTCAGTTAAACAAACATTAAGCATGTGGTCAAACTCGGAAACATACAGAAGCAACATAACGGACAGAGGAAATTAAGAAAATGAATACAAGTCATTGTTTTAAAATTAAGCTATTGAAAATGCTAAATTTGCTCATTTGGGTATTCCGCATTTATAACACTATTTAATACGAACCTATGCTTTCTACCACATTCTAGTTTTCAGTTTGGCTACATTAAGTAAAGCAAATGGATCTGAGCAAATTGCCTTTTAGAACTTCAGTAAGATTTAACCAATCTGAAGCCCTGCGGCCACAATTTTTAATGCATCCAAGATTGGGAGCTTGGATTGTGCTCGTTCAGTGCTTAAAATCCTGCAGTACCCATTACCCTAAAGTATGACAGAAACCAAATTTGAAGCAAAAAGAGAAATTAAAACTACTTCAAGGCACTGACTCAGACTTAAGTGTATCAAACGGATGTTGCTCACCTGTTTGACCTTTTCTTCAAAGTCTGCATCATTGTGGTCTGAAATCATCTGTGCGAGCCGGATCTGCTCTGCGGTGGCCTGTTGAGAGACAGTGCCAACCCCCCCAAAAAGTAAGTACTTATAGGAAAACATTATGAGCAGCATGGATTCACAAAATCAGGGTGATGTACAGGCAAATAGAGTCTGAGAGAGTCTGAGGTTCTGCAAGTCTAACAAAAGGTTTAGTATTGTCCATTTACAAATGTTATCTTTAGCTGATAGTTTTATGCTGGGAATCTTCCCAAATTTCTGCAACTTGTATAATAATCAGAATAACAAGCATATTTCAAGGTTACTGAGGAGAACATTTTGTGCTTTAAATGTAACAAGCATTAACTATGAAATGAATACAATGAGATGATTGTTCATAGCACTAATGGGTCATTTGAGGTTTACTGTAAAATTATGAGTATTGTCCAATTGTCAACTCTCCCAGTCTAATGGTAAAGATATTGTAGTAATAATTATGCAAGTGTCAAAGGTAGGGCTTTAATTGAAGGGGGGTTATTTATAAATTGAAACTTGGCAATTGCAATTACATATTCACATAAAGCCATGATTGTGCCAGTGTCATGTTGCCAATTTATTGTTTAATTGACACGGGCGGGTTTGATCTGCAGTAGCTGTAAGTTGTTTGCAGTAGTAGCAGACAAAAGATGCACAGCTCAGTGTGGAGGTGAGGGTACCTGAAGCCTCTGCTTGTGCGGTGTCTGGCTCTGTGTCTGCCCCTGTGTCTGCTCCCAGCTGCCCCGGGCTCGGTTCCCGCCCATGGACGTCATCATTTACAGTATATACAAATAACAGTATTTACAAAGAAATAACACCTAGAGAAAAAAAAACAACAACAACAGACACATATTTGACTTAGAACAGTGACCCACATTATGTCAGACTCAAGTCCATACAGTTTTGTGTAACATCAGTGGAAGGAGTGTCTCAGCTTGGAGTTCATTAGGGAAAAGTTAATGTGTACAAAGCTGATGTTGGCCATTTTGAACGCTACACTGCAAAGGGAGCACAGCGGCCCGCGGGTTTGACTGGGGAGTAAGTAGAGAACAGGGGAAGGATCCAGCGCTGCATAGACAAGGTTGATTTAACAAGTGCACAAGTGCCCATCCTCAACACTACAACTAATGCACACACGCTCTCCGACGCTGAGCAGGGGGATGCACAGTTTAGATCATTTTAGGTCAACAACACACAACCCCAGACAGTAGAAAACACTTAAACAATGAAATGCAGAGTATAGTACGGCAGCTAGTATTTTAGAACAAATTGCTAACCTTAACCTTGTTATTGACAGCGAAACCTTAATCTCTCAAATGTTACGTAAAACAGTTTGTACAGCACAGGACAACCAAGCCTCCACAAAGGCCTTGACCAGCAAATCTATCGCTAATTCCACTAGCAGCCACATGGCCAAAATGCTAACCAAGTACGAGGGGTTCGGGGAAAGCACCAGCGCTGAAGCCTCTGGAGCTTCCGCTTCACGGCTTCACCTCATGGCGACAGCGAGGCTAACTTCACCAGCCAAGGCTAACTAGCCAAATAAAATATTGAATGTACTGCAGCAAACGACAGACAATAGGCAACCAACCCGATCGAATAGACATTAAGTTGACCAGTAATAAACCAAGAACCGGGGAGCGATGATTTCTTGTTACACTTGACACAAAACGCCCATTTTCCCGGTGCCTCTAGTTGTCAGCTAACGAGTATTAGCCAAAGGCTAACGAAACAAGCCAACGCAGTTAGCACGCAGGTAAAGGCTAGTTTGCTACTTTAGTTTAGCATCCTCACAGTCTTAACAATCACATCGCGACAGCACTGATTATATGGCATGCATAATATCGGAGAGCTGGCATATTTACAGCACAAAGACCGAGGCTAACACAAGGCCTCAGGGCCCAAGAAATGAAAATAAATAGAGGCTCTACTGACCACAAACCGGCTCAGTTTATACGCCGCAACAAAACCGAAAGACAAGTGGCCCTGATGTCGGGTGTTAAGTCGGGTTTGGGGCAGGGTAAAATACCCGAAATCGTACGTTTGTATTACAAATTTAAGAAAATCAGAAGGAGCTGATTCGCTCACAATAAACGCGGCTGTAGATTTACCTGTTTCTTTTCCTCTGCCTCCACTGAGAGCTGCGTCACGTGGTTCACGCAGCTTCGAGGAAACAGAGCCCACACCACGTGACCAGGATTTCTTCATTTGCAGCTTATTTGTTTCGTGGAAGTAATGACACTCCAAATATTATGCATATATATATTATATCAGTTGCCTAACTGCAGTAGAAATACGTCCATGCATCTATTAATAAATAACGGCTGCATCCCTCTTTTACATAATATATTATACAGCAATGGAAGTGCAAAACCTCTGTAAAATTAAATATCTTAACTTTGTGTCATTTTCTACATTTCATTCGTATATTTATATATTATTATTTTTTCCCATTATTTGTATTATTATTGTCTTATAGGACCCCTTTGAAACGGGCTTCAATGGCATTGTTTGATTTTCTGCACTTGTATCGGACCAGTCCATCAGCCTCATCAAAGAACCAGGCAGGTGCAGACAGGAGCAGACAGGTGCAGACAGATGATGCCCAAAGTGTGAAGTTCTGCTTTTCTGAACATTACGGTAGTCTGGTCACGTGACGTCACTGCTGTCTGCGCTCGCGCTCAGCTAGCCGCGAGCTAAAGGCTAAAGTGCGTATTTGGTATTTGTTTTCTTTATAGAGGCGAGCCATGTCCCTCTGTATTACTGCGTTTATTACTATATCACTTTTTTATGGAAAGCCTTCGCAATATGCCCACTCTCACTAACATAACATGATAGAAGGTAATCATTTGTTTAACTAAAGGTTTTAATTAGTCTAAAGCTTGAGCCACAATGCTAGCTAGTATAAACAATCCATAGTTTCATAGCTGTTTTGCTCTTTAATTTATAAAAAAAATAGACAACGAGGTGGCAGCATGGCAGATTCCTCTCCTTTATCTGGTGTGAATGTTGTCCTGGTTATGACCTATGGGAGCTTGGTAAGTTAATTTAACCTTTATCTTTATTATATGTGATTTCTGTCACTATAGTGTTGAATGACATGTTAACTCTGTGTGCAGGTGTTTGTGTTGTTGTTCATCTTTGTCAAAAGGCAAATTATGCGTTTTGCTATGAGATCCCGCCGCGGACCCCATGCACCCATAGGACACAATGCACCAAAGGTAAATTTATTGACATATTTCGCCTGTTATTGTAAAATAAATATTTAAATAGATGATTTGCTCTGCAGGGCCTGAAAGAGGACATTGACTCAGGATTGTCCAAGGTTCAGGAGATCTGTTTTGAACCCCGGCTTTTAGCTGAAGAAGACGACAGACTGAAACATGAATCACAACTTAGTGAGTCATATACACAGTGTATACAGCTGTAGATATACATTCAATCAAATACGTTTTTTTTCTCTTTATTTATTGCATATTCCTCAATTCCTGAATGGGAAGGGAGTGATGTGATTATTACAATTTAATAGAAATTGCACATTTTAAACACATTTTAACTTTAGAAAAAACATCTTAGACCATACACTGTAGACTGGCATACCATATGATGGGTACAAGCTTTATTATAGCTTATAACTTAATAATATAAATCAAATTATATTCCACACCTCATTTCTGTCTATTTTTTGCCAAAGGTTGCTACAACTACTTGTACAGAATGAAAGCATTGGATGCTATCCGTGACTCAGGTGAGGGCTCAACTTTTCAGTATGTTTTGACAATAATTTGGGATAGAATATATTTAGAAATCTTTTCTTGTTCTAGGGATTCCTATTCTAGAAATAAGCCGAACCCCCAGTGCGTTCACTGGACGTCACTTCAGGAACTGGCTGCTGGAGCTGCGAAACTCTCACTCTCTCATCAAAAGCAGCCGCAGTGCACTCATCGATAAACTCCTGGAAGGATATGACAGTGCTCGCCATGGCACAGGGGTGGGTACAGAGCAAAAATAGACAAATTGAGTATTTAGTTTCACTGTAATCTAATAATGAGCTACTTTCTTATTGTTAGGTATTTGGAGAAGCCGAGTTTCTTGAATACCAGCAAGCTCTGAATGAACTGGTTGATGTGTAAGTACCAGGCATATGCTGCAGCGAGTCTGAAAACGGGAACATATCTTTTTTGTGTTTTTATTGTTGTTTTATATATCTTTTATCATATATATATATATATATATAGTATTGCATATAAACATTGTACATTGTATAGATGTATACTAAACCCACTTTAGTCCTGGTTTAGTCTTGGTTTAGTCTCTAGTTTATATACAATGTATGGAAAGCCTCTTAATAGCTTTCTACTGGATCCTGACCTGTTAGTCAATCAAACATATTGCTCATATCTGTTTGAATAACACTTAGTAACATTCAGTTCCTCATTCTCACATTCTCAGTGTGAAGGCCTATTCCAGCAGCACCAGTCTGGACCAGCACCACCAGTCTGCAGCCAAGGACTTGACTGGGTCCCCTGTGCGCTCTGCCCCCTCCACCATACAAGTCACGTACCTGCCTTCCACCGGACAACGCAGCAAGAGACCCAAACATTTCCTGGAACTGAAAAGCTTCAAAGACAATTATAATACACTTGAGAGCACCCTGTAAGACCACAGCAAAACCAAGTAGTCTGTAACATTAGATTTTATTTCAAAGGCTGTAGTCGCTGCCCCTTTCAAGATATTCGACTTCCCAGCTATGGTTTAGACAAAGATGATTGTAGCCTACATGGCAACAGTGATAAGTGGCATCTATTGTGAGGAATGCCATACTTAATTAAAGGTGCACTATGTAACTTTTCTCATAGAGAGTCCATCACCTGCTTATCTCCATGGAGATGTTATTGCTTTACCAGGGATGTTCTACAGTATGGCACTAAATGGTGCAATTTGTGAAGAGGTGAACATGATCACAAAAAGAATAATGCATTTTATTTAAAGGTGCACTGTGTAACTTTCCATCACCTGCTTGTTTCTATGGATATGTCATTGCTCTGCCTGGAATGTTTCACAGTATGACATTAACAAATCTATCTTACATTTATTCAATTAAAAGTGGTTTTATAGCTCAAAAATACCTAGAAAAATAGACATTCTGACTGTGAGCGGGATCACCTCTTCAGATAGAAAAGTTTAATACTGTGAAACATTCCAGACAAAGCAACAACATTTGAATGGAGAAAAGCATTTGACGGATCCTCACCACAAAAGTTACACAATGCACCTTTGATATTATTTTTGAACAATGCAGTCAAATGAATATACGATAGAGACGTTTAATGCCATACAATGGAACATTCTTGGCAAATCTATGACATCTCCATGAAGACAAACAAGCAAAAGGCAGATCTTCCACCTCCTCCAAGTTACATGGAGCACCTTTAATTAAACTGAATGGTCCAAATGTAAAACTGACGTGAAAATGGTGTTTTTGTACAGAATTATATTTATATGAATTGATGTAACTTAAGTCATTTTGTGTGTGATTAATTTATTGTGTGTTTTTGACATAAAAGATCAAACCACCATCTACAGTTTGTCTTTCCTTCCTCCACTAGATGGCACTACTAAGACGCAGTGATCTCAACTATGATGGTTAAAGCTTGAGAGGTTTTATTGAATGTTAGTTTTAAATACAATGCACATGACATAATTTACATTGCATAAGCCAAATATCTACAGCTATCACAGTTCTTCAAAACTACTATTCAAAATGTCGCAAGGAAAACAATATCAACAACTCACACAACAAAAAGCAAAAGGAGATTTACATGATTTAAACCAATTCTTAACACACAAAAATAAAATATAGACAAAGATAGAACAAGATAACAAAGATACATGAGAAAATCAACTGCAATTTTTTTCTTTGGCAAAATAATGTGACTTTTAAACTTATCTGCAGTGTGTCATGTCCAGGAGGCAGTAACAAAAATCAGTAACAAAGACAAAATATTAAGTTAAATATTATGATACATTATTAAAATAAGAAATGAGGCTGCATTTTGAGCTACTGAAACTGGTGTATAAGTAAATCCTATACTAAAAACTATCAAACAGTGAAGTTAATCTCTCCCCAAACTTCATGCCTGTTTCCAAGTTATTTTGCACAGTGTCTTTGTTGCTTCCATTTTGGATTCTTGCTCCTGTCAAACCAACTCTTCTTCAGTGTGGGAAAGCTGTGCACAATCCCAACAAAAGTAACTATGAGGTACCAATAAACGTCACCAGAGGGTCTACTGTTATTTTTGTGACTGTATTTGTATTGAGGAGGTATAGGTACATATTTACAACTTTAACTCGATTTAAGTTAATGTTTATGACTTGATCTCGATGACTTTGATGAAGGGAAGAGCCTTGTTGCTGTGGTTTGTGGGTGTAAGTGGTTTGCTGAAAAGACAAAACAAAAAAAATGTACAATTAATTAAGTTTGATGCAACTAGCACACCTAAAATACCATTGTTAAAGGTCCTATAGTACGCAAAATTGACTCTGTGAATGTTGTTACCTTGTCAAAAACGCACATGAAGTTGCGTTTTTTTTCATTCACACATGTTTGAGGAACCCTGGTTTATTCGTCTGTGTACATCTTCAAAGCTCAAAATGCTCCATTCCACCTCGCGATGTCATATATGACAATTTTCAAATTAACCATTACTTTTTTATCTTTTGTTCAGAAGAGATTGTGAATTCCAGGGCTGAAATCATCCAAATGATTTTAGTGAAGGTGTATGGAAAACACAGTGGAGCACTTCCTGTATTATCACATGACATCACAAGGTGGAACAGGGCGTTTTCTGTTTGAGAGAATAACCTAAATATGCAGGGTGTGTGGGTTAAATGTGTGAATGAAACAAAACACAATTCCAGGTATGTTTTTGATGAGGAAACATAACCAAATTAATTGTCAAATTAATTACTTTTTTTACCTGTAGACCACTTCTGGCTTTTTGTCATTGGTTGTCAGAGGAGGAGGCTCTTGTCCAGCCAACAGAAACTCCATATGGTCATGCATCTCTCTGTTCTGTCATCAAGAAAGAAAGAAAGAACATATTAAAAATCAAGTCCCTTTCATTTAAAATTCTTATATTTCTTTTTTTTAATTTATCGAACCTCAGCTTCCAGAAAAGCGACTTTCTCCTCCAGATCACGGATGTATCTGTCTCTCTCCTGCAGGACTGTTCGTGAGTTCTGCAACTGCATGAAAAAGAAACACAAATGCATTATGATTAGAAGAGGAAAGAGTGGATGGCTCTTAAAAGCATTATAAAACCTATACACATACAACATAATGAGTTAAGTGATCATAGCAGGAACTATGTGAATAATTAAAGGGCCCATGTTACACAAAACAGACTCTTGTGAGCTTTAAGCCATGTTATAATGTTGTTATCTCATCAAAAACATACCCGGAGTTGTGTTTTGTTTCATTCACACATGTTTGAGTAATCCTTTATTATTAATCTGTACATTTCCAAAGCTCAAAATGCTCTGTTCTGAAATCATCCAAATAAGTCTAGTGAAGTTGTATGGAGTTTAAAAACACAGTGGAGCACTTCTTGTATTACCACATGACATCACAAGGTGGAACATAGTGTTTTCTATTTGATAGAAGCACCTAAATATGCAAGATTTTTGTGTTAAACATGTGTGAATGAAACAAAACACAAACTCCAGGTATGTTTGTGATGAGGAAACAATAAAACAGATCAGAAAATAGCATAATATGGGCCCTTTAATGAGCTACTTTATATTTTTAGCCAAGTTCTTAAAAGCACAAAAGTAGTAATTGGTCATAATTAACCACAATTAACAATAAACAATATAACTAATGCAACTAATAGGACTATTATAAATGCAGTCTAATAAAAAAGTTATTACACAGTCATTTCCGCTTGGCTCAGTTTACTCAAATCAATCATCTGACGCCTCCACCTTCTCCACCAAAACCTAATTTCCCTGGTAATGTCTCTCCCTGTGAGTGTGCGGGAACCTTCATTTGCATCGTGCGTGTGTGTATGCGGGTGTGTGTGTACTTGTAGGAAAATACCTGTTCAATCATGTGACGCACTTTCCTCTGCTGACTTTTCAACATGTCGTCAAGGTGATGGATCTTCTCCTTTAATGTGGCCACTTCCTTCTCCAGCTCAGCGCACCTGCAAACCCACACGCAGTGAGTTATGTCTCCATGGTGATGTGAGGACAGCCGCTGATTGAAGTGCAAACAACGACATACCTAAAGCAGCATAACTGTCGTTTCTATCTATAGTTGGGGTTAGAGGGGCCAATCTCCAAACCATACATCATTGGACTGACATGAAAAACATCAGCTATACCTATTTCAGGTCGAAACTCAAATCTAAAGATACTGTATGTGGCATGTTTCATTGAAGAAATATACTGGGATATTGATTGACACTAAAACTAAACACTAATTTGAGTAAGTATAAAAAGTAGGTTGAAATTTGACCTCTCCTGAATAGTTTTGGAATGATACTGATTAGTAGTAGAAGACCACATTATAATATTACATAAACGGCTTAAATATTATGTTTTTATTATTGTTGTGGTATCAGATATCAAGCCTTCTCCTACATACTGAAATCGAATTTGAGAATCATGCCAAAAATATTTGCTAATAGTTGGTATAGTTGTTGAAGATAGAGCAGTGGGTTTTAATATTATACATCTGATTATATTATAGGACTTTGAACAATAGGGGGCTTGTGGCTTAGTGTTACAAATTAATTTTTATAGTCTGTATAAGGTTGTTCAGTTAAATAACCTGTGAACATTGCATTCTATCAGTACAAATTAAGTTGTCTACTGTCCTGCTTTCCCACAAAAAGATACATCGAAAAAAATATACTTAATCTATTTCACTAAAACTTGTCTAGACTGGAGCTTCCCTTTTCTCTTTCATATGAGCCAAACGTTTGAAGTATCACCTTAAGACGCTCACCTCTGTTTGTTCTCCTGGCCTCCTTCCTTCTCGGCTTTGAGTTGCTGAAGTTCCTCCTCCCCTGCGGCCATCTTGTCTTTAAGGATCCCGCTCTCCAACTGGATATTTCCCAGAAGTCTTTGCAGCTCTTCCACCTGCTGACCCCTCTCCTCAGACCGCTGTTCTGCCTTCTGGAGACGCTCTGACTGTTCGCTCAGACGTGCACGATACTTGTCATTCTCAGCCTGGGAAAAAAGTAATGCAAAAGCTGATGTAAGAGAGCTATTGTTGATGCCATTGTCCAATCAGTTTGCTTTGAACGCCTTTAGTTATGTAACCGGCAGAATCAATACAAAATATGCTTCATCCATTAGAGGGTGTATCACTGTCTACTTTTCCAGTAGCAGTGGTGGATGAAGTACTCAGTTTTGTTACTTAAGTAAACATACAAAAAGTTACTCAAGTATAAGTAAAAGTATCACATGAAAAAAACTACTTAAGTAAAAGTATTTAAGTACCTGTTTAAAAATAATGTATTTTAAGACTAAAATGTAAAGGTATTTTGCAGAGAATTAAGTGGATTTGAACTGACTAAATTAATTTCTTGATTCTGTTTTTGTGTACCTGTTTGGTAGGTACAAAGTTGGGATGGGAACGCAAAATAAAGTCTCAACCATTTCTGCAGGTCTCAAACCATAAAGAAAAGTACTTTTTACTTTTGAGTCAAGATCTAAACTGTTGCGAAGTACAACATACAGATACATACTGTCAAATGTAGTGAAGTAAAAGTAAAAAGTATCCACTGCAAAATGTACTTAAATAAAGTGCAGATACCTAAAATTTGAACTTAAGTATTGTACTTGTATTGTATTGTACTTCTTTTGTACTTGGTCACATTCCACCACAGCCCAGTACTGAGAACTGATCAGCTACAGTTTTAAAACAGTCTGTCAAATAATTTTTTACAGCTTTCTTTTGACGTTTTTATGACATTCTTCAGATACTTCAGAGGGGAAACCAGATGTGACGATAAACACATTTTTGAGTGAGGATGATAGTAAATACGGTAAGCATAAGCAGATTAGCAGTATAACCATCTGACTCATAGGGGCCTGACCAGTCTTTTGTGCTGGATAAAATTCATTATTTTGTCTGTGAAGCTAAATTAATATAAGAGGGCAACAAACCCAATGTCTGAACCAAAATAATTTCAGAAACCTGCAACATGGACGCATTTTGCCAATGTCATTCACTCCATTGTTGTGTGTCTTTGTATTAAAGTTTTTATATAAAGCTTTGTTTTTAAGTTTTTAGGCAGCATATTTACCAAAAATATCAGCTTAGGTTTGAGATTTAAGGTACGCTACAAAGTCCAAATATTGGCGCAGTATTCCTTCTCTAATTCTTATATCTGCACTACACTCTCTGATAGTGGACAATCATAAGGTTTTAATCTATAGATGGATTATTGGTACTAAAAGGAGTTTGACATTTCAGCTTCTTATGTTCCTTCTTATTTATTGGTGTATTTTTGTGTACTTTTCACAATTCAAGAGATATAATATTTATTTTTGGATAGTCAGAGTCAGATAGCTAATTGATATATGACACTTTGAAAGCCATGAGTGGATATAAAGTGGTTTGAGATTGCACTGCAGTATGCCAAAACACATTAAGTATGTCTGCAATTAAGTCTCTATCTCTCTGTCTGGTGTTTTAGAATTGAATCCGCATACTAATAAACATTTTTTGATGATTATTTATGTTTTGATTGGTTTGTATTGTGGTTTTAATGTCTTTCTTGTTATGTAAACCACCATGAATAACTTTGTGTACTTGCCTTGCTTTTAATTGTTATAAACCCTGTACAATGGCCTTTCTCTCGGTCTACCATGTCTACAGTCTACTTTCAAATGCTGCCACAGCTGTCTATTATGACAAAACAGCCCCGGGACATGTGAAACTCTGCCACTGTCCCTGCACGACCTCACAGATGAATACGCTGCACTGTGGCTGCGCAAACACCAACGATCACAGGACAGAGCACGGATTCCACTGTCAGATAATGACGGATAATGATAGTGTGAGAGGAAAATGGGGTCGGACAGATCTTTATCTGATTTCTGGAATTCAGATCGCTGAACTGTCTTGTGAACAGTTATATCTGATATGAGTAATGGGATTTCACTTCTGTTTAGATCATAGACTGTATATACAAATGGACATAGCGAACCTGGCTGCAATTGACTTTCCTTTGAAAATAACTGTGTGCTGCGAGCCTCGTCATTTTGGTCATTTTAAAATGTTTCTATTAAGTCACTCTGCATGATCCTTGACTGGAGCCGAATGCCGTGGGAGATGTCGCACGGCCTTAGTTCACTTCTTTATACAGTCTATGGTTTAGACATGGAAAAGAACAAACAACAAAGGGTAACCTAATGTTGCAAAGACAAAATGAAAGTTTGTTGTGATGTTAAAATTCATTGTACTTTGTCTTCCAAATACAACATTCACTAAAAAAATCCACAAATTAACTGATGCACGTCACTGGGTGTTTCTGGTAGTCAGGTTTATGTTGTGCATGTAAACACCAAAACTCAGATCTAATTACCGGGTTATTAGATTGTGATTTTTACGGGCCATATAACTGTATCCACTGTAACAGAGGTTATAGTTTGTCACACTCACACACTGAACTGACCTGCAGCCTCTGTTTCTCCTCCTGGTGGCGTTTCTCCATCTCTTTCAGCTGTGCGTACAGTCGCTTCGTAGCTTCTCTGAGCCGTGCCGTCTCATCCTGATTATCCCCGACCTGAAGAGGCAGACAGGAAGTGACACGATCAATTAGGATTAATGGAGCCAAAAGTACCAGGCCAGGAGGGTGAGAGAGCAGAAGAGAGAGAAGAAGGGAAAGAAGAGAGAGTGATGAGTGGCCAAAGGGCATTAAAGCTGGCTGAATGAGTTGCTGCTTAAATCAATAAATGTTTCAAGATCTTACTTAAAGATGCACTGTGCAACTTTTCTGGTGGAGGATCCACTACCTGCTTATCTCTGTGGAGATGTTATTGCTTTAAACATTGACTTTAAACATTTCCATCTAGCATTTATTCATTACAGGTGTTTCTATTGCTCTAAAATACAATAATTCCTGCTGTGAATAGAAACGCCTCTCCACAGATCTGACCGTTAATGTAGTGTAGTGCTGTAATTTGTCTCCCTTGTGATGGGCAGGTTTAATCTATATTATGGAACAGTCTAGACAAAGTAATAAAATTTCCATGGAGAAAGTTGGATTCAAGTATGCTTACTTTAATAAAGCATTACTCAACCAGGAGTCAATACTTTGTAAAAACTATTGGATGTAATATCTGTTGTATTTAATGTAATTGGACAGACAAATTATGGTGTTATACATGTTCTTCTTTTCTTTGTGTATATATAATGAACATATTTGTACAGTAACCTAAAATATTTTGTAACATGTTAGAATCAGGCCCGTCGACAGAAATTCGGGGGCCCGAGGCACGACACCACACATGGACCCACCTTTAATATAAATGAATAAGAAGAGCGTCAAATTCTGGGCCCCTAAGACACTGGGGACAGGACAACAGAGCTTTTTGACCCCGTGTCGACTCCCCTGGTTAGAATTTACAAAAACATGTTCTATCTTTGTTTAACCATTGGGGTTACAAGCCAGGAAAGCTGGGTCAGAAAGTGTTGTGCCAAATAAGCACATGTTCCTTTGTTGTAGTTTTTTTTGTTTTTTTTTCATTAGTGGTGATGAATAACTAATTGGAAAGCGTGGTGTAGCCTTGATTACATTATGTCCATGGGTTTTAGAATGATAAAAAAGTAGGAGACTTGCCATAGCAATTAATAATTATAGCAATTAACAATTTAAAACTAAATATTTTATCTTTTGAATGAGTAACAGTCCTCAAAATGTTGCATATAAGCCATAAAATAAACGTAGAGTAGTGTACACTGGTTTATCTCACTATCATTTTTGGACAATAATCCACTTTGCACGCTTGTTTTATTTTGAACAAAGCGGAAGTGTCAAAATGATTTCCTATCGTTTAAATAATTAACACATTATCTACTTCATTTTATCAAAACACATATCATATGACTAATCTTATCCAAACAGAGCATCCATTTTGAACAGCGGTGCATAACTTGACACCATTCGGTCGTATAGAGGGCATTGTAACTTTATCCTATAGTCTCTGCGCATAGAGGCCACACACCCCGTTTCCTTCTAATGTTACCTCCCTAGAACAAAATGGCGTTGTGTGGCATGTTATGACGAATCTAAAATAAATGAGAAGGAAGATAATACAAAGGAGTTGTGTTGTGTGTTGTGTTGGCAGGGAGCTGTTACATTTGCAGTTAATCATGTCAGCAACAGCGAAAGTGAGGGTTATATGTGGTGACGAAGAAAATCGTTTTATGATGCATTCAGGGACACGCAAAGAAATTTTGTAAACTGAATCATACAAGACCGGTGACACACAATTAATTTAGTTTCTATCAATGCTGACAAACTAGACTAACAAAATAATTGACAAAATAAAAAAATATATATATATTGCAATTGTACAATTTCATCTCTTATAAGTTGGGTTGTGTTATAATTTTTTTTTTAATAAATTAATATTATTATAATTTTCCAGTAAAGCTCATCTATTATTATATCTATTATTATCTATCTATTATTAAGCTATTATTATTAAGTTTCAGCTTCCTGTTATATGGTGCCATTTTGAGGGTAGCTGACTGTTCAAATTACATATAATTTTGTTTTGAATTGTTACACTAAAAAAGTGTGGTTTTACAGCTTTATCTCTTATGAACTGGATTATGTTATTCTTTTTCAGAGCATTAATAATATCATAATTTTCCTGTAAAGTTAATGTCTATCTGCTATTCATGAGTTCTTATATGGCGCCATTTTGAGGACGGTTGACCATTCAAAAGACATATTATTTATTATTTTCAATTGTTAGTCGCTATGGCAATGTTATAACTTTTTATGATTGTGAAACCATGGATAGGACATACTGTTCTTTGATGCATTAAAGACAAAAGCTTTCAGATGGTTCTTTTCTTGGCCTGTCCGTATAAAGCGCTCTGCCCAGGACTTGTAAAGTGAATTCAAAACCAAGAATTTTCCAGATTGTTCTTCTCCTGTTTAGTGCCGCAGCCGATCGCATATGTAAGTGGAAAAACAGCTGTAGGGTCTGTCATCTTTCCATTAACGTCATGGTTGTAATTTACATTCAAATAAAAGATTTGGCTAATATTTGGTTGCTCATATGCAGTTTGTTTGTTGTAGTTATGACAAATAAACAGTTTTGTGTGGGCTCTAGGCTGTCTTTGAGAAAACTGAATGGATAATGATCTCACATTAACTTCCTCTTCGATGACAGTGTTGCCGTTGGTCATCGTGGGCGGGACATGTGCCAAGCTCACTCTGTAGCCATTGGTTGGATACTAGAGGAAGAATACAGAGAGAGGGAAAAATCAATAGTGGCTTTAATGCAAGAAATGCTTCAACTTAAAGAGGAAATGCATTCAAATGATTTCTGATCAAGGGCAACTGCTACTTTGTGTATATTCAGCTAACATCTGCTGTTACGTAACAAGAAAGTATAATTTATAAAAAATCCTTTGAACAAGTCTAGGCACACCTGAGGCTTTTGGCAGACAGATGCAACATGCAAAGAAGCAGCTCTCTTAAAAAAAGTTGACTTATTATCAGCCTGACAAGTGAATTATTGTTAACGTTTATGCTTTCCATTAACCTTTACAATAATTCATCATTTACGTAAACAGTCTCTTATTTGAGTATTTGGTTAGGACAGTGTGAAGAGACATGAATGAAAACACGTCACCTCACAAACACACACGCTTTCATATACACATGCAGGGCAGTAGACGGAAGGGGACAAAGGGGTCTGTTGTCCTGGGTCCCAAAGTTTTAGGGGCCCAGAATTAGGGCCAATGTGAGGTTTCTTGCCCCAAGTCCCCAAATTTCTGTCGACGGGTATACATTTGCTATTCTGAAATAAGATCATTATTTATATAGTAAATGTATATATTTTCGTGCATACTTTGTTGTTGTTGCTGTTTTGTCTGGCTGCCATCTGTTCCCTCAGGGTCTTCAGACAGTACCTCACCTGAAAAAAACAAACAAAAAAAACATACTAAAGATGACAATAGATACTCCACTAAATACCATTAAAGATGCACTGTGTACATTTTTGGTAGGGGTTCCTTTCACCTGCTTGTTTCTATGGATATGTCATTGCTTTGCCTGGAATGTTACACAGCTCTGCCTTAGATTTATTAAATTTCAAGTGGTTTTATAGCTCAAAAATACCTAGAAAAACAGACATTCTGATTGTGAGCGGGGCCACTTCTCCACAGATCTGACCTGTATCTTAGTCTGGTTAATTTGGTCAGTTTTGGTCTCCATGAAGATAGGAGAGAGGCTTAATGCCATACTGTGGAACATCTCCATGGAGAAAAACATTTGACGGGCCCTCCACCACCTAAGTTACACAGTGTACCTTTAAGTGCTGCTGAGTCACATTTCCTTAGAAGCTTTAGATCCAAAAAGCAGAGCTACAATGACTGCAAAATATTAAATAAATAAATAAAAAAAATTAGGCCAAAATTAAAGTGCACAATTTATTTTTAAAAATTATGTCAAAATCTTGTCTTGTCTCATTGTCGTGGATCCAGTCTTGTTTCCTGTCCCACCTCTATAGTAATGTTGCTGGTGTGTGCCAGGTGCTGATTCATTGTCTGGATATGTTCTCACTCACCTCTTGTATTTGGGACACTTCGTCGTTTAGCATCCTTAGGTTGTGCTGGTGGCTCTCTGTTGTGTCTGGACGGGACTCCAGGTAAACCTGAGTCACACATGAACAGTTTAGAGAGGATGAAATAATGAAGTGGTAAGTGCGGTGAGAGTGCATGATGTAATGATGTAAGGGCTTAAAAACAGGTGTCACTACCGGGAGGATTTCACAAGCCCCTGAAGAAGACAGACTCTGGGTTTGTGTGAGGTGAAGGGAAAGTGAAGCTCATTTTTTGTTGTATTGTTCTTTTTATGATGAATTTAGAAATCCTTGGTTCTATGAAATGTTCACCAGTGCCCTGTTATGTTGTTATGTAAGGATGACAACAGGATGAAATGGCTGTTTAATTATAATATTTATAAACTGGCATCATTTCCTTATAAGGCCTGGAAGAAGCGGCAGACATGTCTGTTTAAATGAATGAATGAATCAATTTGTATTTGTAATACACGTCTGGCAACTGGCCTATTGTGTTCTGTTTGAGGTGTCTTTAAGCCCAGGAAAGGGATGGGCATATCTGTATTCATGGCACAATAACACACTGAATTCAATTCAATTGTTTGGTGAAACCATAATTACTGTTGCTAATTTACTTGATCAAATGCCTTTTAAACGGTTAAAAAGTTAATTTACAATAAATGCTTTACTTAGAAAAAGAATTAAAAGTTTACACAACATAAAACAAGTCCAGACTCATGTAAAGAGGCTGCTCAAACATGTGATGCCTTTTCAACATGACAACATTCATTCAAAACAGTGATTAAATGCTCTATAAATCAAAGGATGTTTTCATTAGAACCAAAAGATTTAGCAATTCATTTAAATAATGTGAAATAAAGAAATAATTAATGTTTGTAATGTAGCAGTTACACATTAATATGGGGATTCAAGATGAGAAAACTCAGGACTAAACGTCTGGGATACAATATTAAACCAGGAGTTAGACCAAGAACACTGTGTTCATTCCAAAGATGTATAACAAAAGGTCACCAGCATAAATTATATGATGGTATTTTGAGTTTGAATAATAATAAATGTTCAACCCAAAGCTCTAGTCTACTAAATGAAGGACTAAAGAAAATAAAAAAGAAAGAAAAACTAACCTTGATAACTTCAACTTTCTCTTCTGTTGTGACGTGCGTTCCTTCTTGCTCCTCTAGTTTTTGTGGCAACAAAACTGTCACGTTGCTTTCCTGCATAAAAAAATACATAATTTTTAACTCATCAACCCTTTTTTAAAATTAGAATGAATAAACTTAAAATTAAAATGTATAAACTTTCTAATTTATTACCTTATTTATGTGTCTCTGTTGGTTTTGCCTTTCAATTACAGTCCGTCTTGTGTCCTGCAAAAAGACATGAGAGAAGTGACTAGAAAGACAGTGTGGTGTTCTGTCTGTAATTGAAAGTGTCTCGCTGTGGGTGGAGCAGATGTAGGCGGGGCGTTTGGGGCAGAAAAACCACCTCTACACTCGAATTGGTACCACATAGTTTGACTGTCTCCCATAACAACAAGCTACATTTTTCCTTTCAGTCTCGAGGGTTGAGTCTGGTGACCAACTTTCCAAGTTAAAACGAGAAGCATGACCACTTTATGGATCGAAAATACCACAGAGCACACGGATGAGTCACTTCAAGCTAAATCTGTCACTATAGCAACAAAAACAAGAACAGTGGAACAGTAGGCCAGAGAGGAATTACTGGGTCAATGGAAGTATCTATATTTGTTTACGTAACAGGCTTTTACTGTAACTATGTTAAAAGTGCCATGTAAATGATGTTTACTTACTCATTTACAATAAGATTTAAAGATTTAAACTTTATTTAATACCTCTGTTGACTTTTAAAAACTCCATCCAGAGTATTTTACAGGACAATTGCACATGTTTTTAACACTTTCATATCTTTAATCTGCAAATGTTTCACTGTCTCACGTCTCTATTCACTGTTTCATGTTATAGTTTATGTGTGAGTGTTTTCTGTTTGTGCTTTTGTTTTATCCTGCCTCTTGACCAGGTCATCATTATACATGAGAAGGTATTCTCAACTGACTTACCTGGTAAAATATTGAATAAATAAAATAAAAATTTATTTATCCACAAAGGAATTTTTCTGGATAATTGTATATATGGTTTTAATTAAATTATGTGTTTCTAATATACAAATAAATAAAAACAAGACATGGTTTCAGGGCAGCACAGTTCCTAATAAAAATAAAAGATAACCCAGTGAACCAGATTTTGTCCTCCTTCCTTCTGTGTGTTGTTTTATGAAAAAGTAGGACACTGCTAAAACAAAGGCCAAAAATAGTTCAGTTGAGCCGATATTAAAAAGTGTGACGTCATTGTACAAAAGCCTATTAATGCGCAAAATCTATATAACATATACAGTAATTATAATGAGAACCCTGCATTATACCCTGAGGTGATTCTCTCTAATGTCTTTAACCTTTTAAGTCTTTAAACATTACATTTTGACAGCCTGAGAGCCTGATCAGTATGTACCACTACGACTACACGCAGTGACATTTCAACCTCACCCAAAAGCAAATACTTGTGAAAATACATATAATCCCTTGCTGGCAACTCCCAGGTAACCTAAAGTAACTGAAGCGACACCTTTTGAAAATGTTGTTTTTGTCAAGTTGACAAATCTTTTAAGAGAGACTTGAAGTATGAAAAACATTTAAATGAACCCAGAAAGGAACATTATGTAAGATTCTAAAGTGTCTTTATCTCATCTGACAAAACCATCAAATCCGCACCTGTACAGATCTGAGTTTGTTGATTTAGCAGAAGGTTATATAAATTCAGAGCTTTACACGCAAGACCTGAAAGAAGTCAAGTAACACAAAACAAATATTAATTATAAAGACATTTCAGTTATTTGAGAAAAAGTCAACAAAATGGTTTCAAACGTATGTATTAAAGGTTCAGTCACAAGTACTCCAGATAAAAAAGTAGCCAATGCATGAAAAACTGGATTAGTATTGGTATTAATTTTAGTGCAGTTGAAAGTGTTATTATGTGTATTATTCCAAAAGCAATATTTAGGCTATGTGCTATCAATCCATCACAAATCTGCAAAAATACACCTGTATGTCTTGATGTCCAAGTATTGCACAAAACTACTACTAACTACTAAGGACTATAAAATGAACTACAAATGTGCAAAAATATTACTAGTTTGTACAAATGTAGTTTTTAGTCAGCTATTTTTTGCAGTCTTTTAGTGTATTTTTGTGATTACTTTATAATCTAATCTAATTTTGCTTATCTCCAAACCAACAATTAAAATTTTTGATATAGCTCTCCCCTCTACTCATAGGAGAACACAGTGTTTCCCATTCATATAGGAGATTATAGCATCTGGATTATACATTTGCATAACAAATTTAGATGCTCATTGTATTATCATAAACTTATAAGAAGTTTAAGATAGACTGAAGTATAAGAAGAGACTGCAGGGGTAAATAACGAGAGCTTAAAATTAAAAACAGGCATTAAGTGACATTTATACTCCGCAAATTAATGGAGATGAAATTATATATAAACAAAAAGTGCCATCATAGTGTTAACAAAATCTATGGGAAACACTGCAATGAAAAAAACAGCATTACATTATTAGTATGACTGACATCTTTTGCAATAGTCACCCAATCTCTGTCTTGGAAATTAGTGGCCAGTAATATTCTCTTTCTACAGAGAACAGAGCACTGTTATACTTCTTTGACAGCTGATATCCAGGTTGGGCATTTAATTGTATGTAATAAGACTATCTGCTGACTGATGTGGGCCTAGAGCATCTCGAAATGTTTGAACTAATCCATGCAAAGTTGTTATGTAGTTACTTGCAAGATAAATAAGTTACATAATATAATTGCATCATATTCGTTAACAGTGTTTTGAGAGAAAAAAATCGGTTGTGTAATCGTGTAACTTTTCTGGTGGAGGGTCCATCAAATGCTTTTCTCCATGGAGACGTTGTTGCTTTGTCTGGAAAGTTTCACAGTATGGCATTAAAACTTTCTGTCATCATGCAGACCAAACCAGAACAAGTTATAGGTCAGATCTGTGGAGAAGCAACCCCGCTCACAGTCAGAATGCCTGTTTATCTAGGTATAGGTACACAACGTACCTTAAAAGTCATAGTATCGTGCCTCAGATTTCAAAATATAGTTAGTTACACAAATATTTTAAAAGTATTATAGTTACTTTCCACATCTGGACATATATTCTTTACAAGTTTCCATACCATAAGGTGCATTAAAATAGCAGGTGTCTCTACCCAACCTGAAAGTTCCCTCGTAAATTTCTGTGCCCCTTTTCACGTCACTGAGGTATTTATACAAGATTTACACACAGGCGTGACTCAGGAAACTACAACATGGGACATAAATATAGAAGAAAAGAGCTGTCATGTGTAGAATTAAGACACAACATAAATCTTATATATGTGACTTGTTGTGTTAACTCTTTGAACCTGCGTGATAGTGAAGAGTTTGACTTCATAAAGATACATACATAAAACTATTTCACACACTTTTAATAATTACCTGTTAAAACACTGTTTGGTAATGGTGTCTACATACCACAACCTGTTATTAGGGTTAAGTGCCATGTCAAAGTTGAAATAAGCACTTTTGAGAGCACGCAAAAGCAATACCCTACTTCCAAATGGTGTTTGTATAATGTCTTATAATTAAATAAATCAACAAATTCAGACAATATTCATAATTTTCTCTCATTATCCTATCATCAGTATTTAGATACAAGGTCCATCTGACAAAAAAAAAAAATCACATTGTATTTGATGTGCTATATCATATAGCATCCAACTGAGTGCAGAGTCTAGATAATTAATTAATTTCCCATTGAAATATATCAGCTTCTGTGAAAATCTATACAGTTTCAACTCTCAGTGTTTTGCACAATTGAATGTATTTTTACTAGAAACATTTTATAAGCAATAATTACCATTAGGGATTATTTTAAGGAAATAAATGTGGGTTTCCATCTTTGGACTTAGTCACTTACTTCAAGCTATAGTGCTGGAATCAGTATCTGAACTTAAAAAGCTGTGTTTCTCATAAGCATGGCACTAGACAGGGAGGGACAAAGGGGTCTGTTGTCCAGAGCCCCAGGGTTTTAGGGCCCCAAAATTGGACCCTCTTTCTATTCATTTATATCAGAAGGGGGCCCATGTGAGGCTTCTTGCCCCAGGCCCCCAAAGTCTGTTGATGGGCCTGCCCATAGGGAAGGGAGACCTATTCAGTCTACTGAGACTCCTATAATAGCTGGATTAAGATGAAGAAGTAGAGTTATCTTCCTTTCTTATTGTGTTATCTTTGCCTATTGTGCATGCTTATGTAATTGAAGCAATTATCTAGTGTTAAATTTCCATCAGATTTGCCTGAAGAGCTTTTCTTTGTTAAAACTTTGAGAAAATCGCTTAGTTTGTCTCTCCGCTGTTGTGTCATTCAACAGCAGACAGTGAGCCAAAAGATGGAAATGATTAGCCTGTAGTTTGTTTGGGCTACATGCTATGTTAACATGTCACACAAGCAGAGAATAAGGTTACACGGGCGCCTCGGGAAACCTCTGCTCTTGAGCCTTACATAACAAGGTGGTGTCTAATTTGCATGTTCAATCAACTCAACCGGCAGCGCTTTGTTTATAAAACTCATGCCTGAAAAACCATTCAAAACACAAGCGGTGGATCTGAGACAGGGACAGCCCCCACACGCACAGACACACCCTTAGACATACTCAAGTAATGCCACCTGTATATACAACGAGAGAAACCAGTCTGATTTTATGGTACATTTTGTCCTCTACAACTGCATAAGTTAATGGATGTACTCTGAATTAATAATGTAATTAAGTGAAAGTAATTATGTGAAGTAGTATTTGTCATATACCTAAATTACTTTTATCTGGATACCTTCCCAAAACTTTACGATGTTTATACGGTGCATAAAAAACCCAATTAATTTTATGTTTGTTTGAAACTCATTGTTCGTCACATTAAAGCCAAATTCAAGTGTCTCATATTACTATAAATGCATGTGTGCAGTCTACACCTCATTGCATGTACAAGTTTTCAGCTAAGTTTTAAGCTTTCATTCATCCATGGAAATAAATCAGATTTTCCATCCAGCTCCTACAGCTTGGTTCTCCTCAAGTGACTATTTTGCTTAACATTCTTAACTTTCTTTATGAGTTTCTGTTTTGGTTATGTTTTTTCTTTTGAATTAACCATGATTATCCTTGTGAAATTGAACTACAAAACTGAAGTGACTCATTTCAATACCATAAAAAAATTCATAAATATACAGTATAGATGGGGTTTCCAAGCAAATCCAGAATCATATCTCCTTCTATTCTTTATACAGAGGCACATCAGCCTGGTCCCCACGTCTTCTGAACTAAACATGTTTGTGCAATCTGTTTTTTTCCCCACTGACGCATGTGAAACAAAGGCGCTTCAGTGCTTTCCTTATTAATTCTGCAGAAATACGCAGTTTCAGCCCCCTGTAATATTTTTTTTTCCTTTTTCCTCATAAGCACACATATTTGTTTTGATACATACAAACCACTGCTTATCCCTGACTGGCTAATCCTCTTGTCAGTCATGCCCATCTGAACTCAAGGTACAGCAGTGACCAGACTCACATCTCAAGTTTTGGAGAAGTGTGTTTTCAGGATCTCAGGTAATAGATGGGGTAAAGTTCATACACAAATACATACAGTAATTCTTGCTTCAAAGTCCCAATAATACAGAATGTACCCTGCATCTAAGACTTGTTCAAGCAAATCGCAAAGTGGAAAATAGTTAAAGATCAAATAGGAATATAGCCCGAGGTGGTGGAGCTGCTTAATAAAAAATGTTTTTATCAAATACCTTGTTTAATTAGGTTCTGGTGTGTTTAAGGTCATGGATCTGGGCCAAACTCAGCCTCAGACAAATGATAACATTAAAATCATTATTAACATGGAGGATTAGGCAAAAGCTCTTCAAAAGTTTGTTGTCACTTTTAGACCTGCAAAGCTCCATGTGTTAGTTTAACTCAGTCACTCGATGCTAAATGAGACATCTGCTACATGGCTGTATATAGAAGCACAACAAAGAGCTAAAATTAACCATAAACTCAATTATCCAGATTCAGAAGTCAAATCCTACATTCCTTGTAGACATTTCCTGAGAATAAATGTGTTTGAAAAACATTGAAAAGTTTCACAAATCTGTGAAAAAAATATATTCTTTGAAGCCAACTTTAAAATCTTTAAAAGTACAGTATGTAACTTTCTGGAGGTCCATAACCTGCATGTTTCCATGGAAGCATAAAGTTAAAGCCAAAGGACGAACATTTTCATGGGAAAAAAAACACATTTTCCTCCAGACCAGTCAGTCAGTCAAATGCATGTTTTTGGTGCATTAAAAACATATAAATGAAACAAAAGCTTTTATTTGACATACTGTGGCTTTAGACAAAAAAAAAAATATATATATATATATACATATATATAATCAAATATTTAGTGATAACAAAGATGAAGGTTGAAAGTGGCGTTGTAAAGTGATTCAGCAGTTTTAGTGTTGTCACTGTTGTACATGACATAAGCAGTAGATGAATAAAATAGTGCTATGGTGTTTAAGAGCTCACACACACAGGCTGGTCCTCTGCCATGACCTTGCACCAGGATACACTATTTATACAGACCACCCCCTCCTCTTTACGCTTTTATCTACACTGTCCTATTGGAGGGGGTGGACTTGCTGTCTCCTTTGTTACTGTCAGTGACTACCCACAATCAATACACCGCAACCTATCCTGTTTACTGAGCAGTGCCTTCCTATTACAGTCTAAAATATGATGTCATTAGTACAGAATTATTTACAGGAAAATATCTGAAGTTTGTGTTAAAGATGCACTATATAGTTTATTTCCCTGGAAAAATCTTTTGGCTTGGTTTGCATGTTCTGGCATTAAACTTATCTATTTCCATGGAAAAAAGCATGTGATGCCAGATCTATGGAGAGGCTTACAATAAAAATGCATCTATTTGAATGTTATTTTTTGTAATTAAAATCACCTGAAATTGAATTAATGCAAGGTAAAAGACAGATACATTTAATGCCAACCTGTGGAGCATTCCAGGCAAACCAAAAACATTTTCATGGCATTACATAGCGCACCTTAAAGGCTGTAAAGTTGTGTTATTGTACTGCACATTTTTGAATTCCCAGCCTAGGTACTAACAAACATCGCAACTATGTGCAAAAGCAATCCATCTTTACAACAGATGTGGTCTGAACTGGCTGTTTCTGCAACAACTAAGCCTGTCAGGATAATATTACAGTACATTTTCTTTGCAATAGAGTGAAGATTTTTTGCCATGTTTATGTAATTATGTATTAATTTGAGCTGTAAAAAGTTTAACAAATAACTTGCATTGATCATATTAGTTCATTCTGACATTTGTTTGTTGATACTATCTATTCAAAAATGTGTTTACTGGGATTATCTAGCTTTGTGTCAGTGCCATAAAGTACTTTCAATATGATAATTTCTCACAATATTCTTCCGTATTGTGCTTCATCATTGGCTAGAGTGACAGGTCCAGCAACATCATGGTAACTGTAATAGTAGGAAGAAAACATGCATGCAAATCAGATAAATATCGCTCACACACCTTTCCAGATAAATGCCAGTTTTGTGCGTCATTGTGAGTCACTTTCATAACTGCGCCTGACTGGCAATAGGAGTTTCTCGCACAAAGCGAAACTCGTACATTAATGACGCTAGTGTAGGTTTTAGTACAAGTTAATGAAAAAGTTCCTAATAAATAAACAAGCAAGCATTATATCCACTGTAAATATCAGCTATATGCTACTACAAGATCTGTCACAATAACAAATTTTGAAGCACGTTATATTTCTACAGAGATATACTGTAATAAATTATAATATTGAAAATACTTTGAGCCACAGACACAATAATAATACAAGATGGTCCCAGTAAACCATTTTTAAAGATAGTTTCATTCAAAAGGCCTGAGCTCCAACAAATACACAGAAGAATGAGCCATTAATTAGCCATAGAAATTAGTTATCCAATCCTCTGCAGATCAAATCTTATTGTATTATAACAAAAAATACCCCAAATGTACACATGATAAATATTGAGCCCCAAAATAAATCTATATAGTTAAAATCGTGACAGGCCTAGATACTACCACTTTCAAAACAAAGCCAGGTGGTGTCTGCTATTTTCTGTTGTTAAAGTCGCTAAGTCGGTTAAAATACTTGGAATATATTTACTTCAAAACGAAAAAAAAGCAGGTTAGTTTAAAGAATGTGTTAATTACTGGTTTCGCAAGACACTGCAGTAAAATCAATGCGGTCCACAGTATTACTCTAGTACTAGTACTACTGCTATGAACTACTATTGTTAAAGCTGCCACAAATATGACAATAATTCTGAAAGCTGACATCAAAATTGTAAAATAGTACATGTTACATCATTTACCCAGTTATTTAATTCAAATTAGATCCACAGTATGTTATATATGCTGCTATTTCATATATTATACCAATATTACTAATTGACTACAAATGCACATACATACATTTAAATGGTCAAAGTAATTACTATACTTGACTGAAAAAAATATACATATAGAGATAACCAAACAGATTACACATGGAAAACAAAGCAATACATCACTACTACTACTACTATGATTACTACTGCATAATTCTGCCATGTGTTATAATGGATTACAACAATAACTACTAGAAATAACAGTACATCTGGATTAAAAACTGCAATTCAGCAAATCGATTATGGCAAATACCTTTTCTCCCCACAGTGATGGCTGCTCCACGCTGCCTGCCTCTGCCTGTGTATCTCTGAGTGGGACGTCCTGTATTTTGCTCTAGTCTTTCAGGGCAGGGCTGGTACTCCTCCCACTGCAGCCCTGCCCTGTTCCATTCACTGTCAGTACAATACCGGAGCGTGCCAGTGCTAGCACGCTGTTAGCTGTTAGCTGTTAGTGGTGAGCACACACATCCTGAGCCTCCACCCCCTGCTGGAGAGCCATGCCAAGTACACAGCGCCACAAATCCTTCCTTTCACACAAACCAGCGGGGAAGGCAAAGAGACCGCAGTTGTAAACAGAAGAGAAAACACATGGGAGGCAAAGGAACATTGGCAAGTGGGTTTACTATGGCCTGAAATAACACAATGTTCTCTGCTGCTGAATTGTATAACTGTATTACTGTTTTAGATTTAGTGTGTGTGTGTTTTAGTTTAACTTAAAGGGACCATATTACGCTATTTTTTTGATCTATGTTATAATATTTTTTCCTCATCAAAAACATACCTGGGGTTTTTGTTTCATTCACACATTTAACACACAAATCCTGCATATTTAAGCTGAGTTCTTCTATGAAACTGAAAACACTCTCTTCCACCTTGTGATGTCATGCTGTAATACAGGAAATGCTCCACTGTGCTTTTAAACTTCCCACACCTTCACTACAATCATTTGCCAAACTCCACTGAACTAAAGACAAAATGTAGCTGTTAACTTGAAAACTACAGCTTCATGAAATCACAAAGTGGAACAGAGCATTTTGAATTTTGAAGATGTAGACAGACTAGTAAAGGATTAGTCAAATATGTGAATGAAATAAAAGATAACTCCAGGTATGTTTTTGATGAGGTAAAAACATCTGAATATGATTAAAAGTGGACAAGAATTTATTTAGCATATTGTAGGACCTTTAAATCTTTTTAAATTAGGCTAGAATAGATAAATGTCTGAGCCTTATTTTGTTTTGTAATCAATCATTGAATCAAATACTGATAGCAAGTGTAGTTCTGTGCTGCCTAAAATGCCCAAACACTGTGGCCAAGATTCAGGTTGACGGTTCGATTCCTACAACAGACTTGCATATTGATAGCCTGATTTATCAGTTGGTTTCACTTCGTGCAAACCGTCTAATCTTGCAGCATTAGAATTCATTCACTTGACTGTAGGTGGATACTTTTTTATTTAATCAATTGCTGCTGTTTGGTCAAGACGTATGTAATGCGCCAAATCCCGTAGGAGGCAATAGTGTCTTTCCCCTGGATAAAATTCACCAAACATTCTCTTTGTGTCGGCCCAGACAGGCACTTGAGTTTAACGTCATGGCTTCACAGCTCTGATTGGCCGGTGTGCGGTCTACAACTTCCAGGGTTCTTGCAAACCGTCTAGTGTATTCCGATTCCTGACCTAGTCACTGGGGAGAAATTAAATTTAGCAGAGGCATTAGGTGGCGCCAGCCTGGCTAACATATTGATGCCACTGTGCAAGACACTTCATGTCACAGTAACTGCAGCACACACAGTACCATAACTGTTGTAATCTTATTATGATGGGAACAATTTTACACAACATTCATTTTGAGCAAGTAGTAATTTCGGTGTTAGGGTGTATGACGTTTTTAGTTTGACATGTGTGGTCCTGGTCTATTTTTTTCCATTACTTCCATACAACATTTAGTCCCCGGCATGAGAAAATACTGAACTGTGTGGTATGCCAACACATATTACACAACGGGGGACCAGTGTGGGACCCTTGGATACCCAGTCATTTAATTTATGTATATTATGTTGCTACTGCTATTGGGCTATTGGTTACAACTGAGCAACACTGTTAAATGCTCAAAATAACTACTAAATTTCCATCAAAAAAATATAAAAATAAAAATAGATAACCAGACTGACTATGCATACAATAATACAGTACTACTACTATCATAATGCTGCCATGTGCTACATTTGACTACTGCAATGGCTACTGCAAACAACAGCACACTTGAACGAAAAACTGCAATTCAGCAAATCAGTGTAATTACCTCTTTTACTTTTTTTTCAATGCTCAAGTTCCATATAACATTTAGTCCATGGCTTGAGAAAATACTGAACTGTGTGGTATGCCAAAAACCTATTACACAACAGGGGACCAGCGCAGAACCCCTGGATAAACTCTGGTAGACTTCATTTATTGCTGTGTAGTGACAGCGTTGGCCAGTAGCAGCCCTCTGAGGAATGTGTGGCACGACTTATGTAAGTGAGATAAATTAAACACTTTTATATAACAGTGACTGGCACGTTACTAGAGAACACCATGAAATTCTGCCAAAACTATGCCCATCTGTGGACAATAAAAGCTCCACTGTACTGAATTCACAAATTTCTCAATACAGTTGCCTTTTGTAACTCAGCAGCTGCAATAACTTGCTCAACAATCCTTTTACTACCTATGGGAAAGACTTTGAGATGCATAAAAGTGGCAAAATTGATGAGCCCCAGTTTTGCTCAAAGCATTTGTACAGAGGAAAATTGGGTAATAATGCTGATTGTTGGGGCTAAGCCACTAATAATGACTAATCAACTATAAAACATGATCATAGTTGTATCTTGATAACTGTAATATTTATCAGGTCTAGATAAATATTACAATTATCAAAATACATCTATGATCAGGTTTTATCAGGCCCATCATCAGAAATTTAGGGCCTCACTTGGCCCCCCCTCCAAACTGCACTATACAGACTCTATATGCATAAGAAAATACTTTTTGTTTATAAAGCAGTGGCATTAATTTATCAAAATGTCAAAATCAATGAACACATTTTCACTGAAGCTTTTAGTCACCATTTTAATTTTATTTGATTAATATGAAACTTTTGAAAATTTTGAAAATTGTGCTATATGCCTAAATTCAAATACCTTCTGTCAATACTCCCCAACACTTCTGATTTCAATTATTAAAGGTCATATATTATGCAAAATTGACTCTTGTGAGCTCGTTATAATGTTCTTACCTCCTTAAAAACATACCTGGAGTTGTTTTTTGTTTCATCCAATTATGTTTGAGTAATTCTTTATTATTAGTCTGTTTACATCTCCAAAAATAAAAATGTCCTGTTCAGTAGAGATTTGTAGATGCAGTAGAGAGCAATTCCAGGGCTCAAATTATCCAAATGAGTCTAGCGAAGGTGTATGGTGTTTAAAAACACAGTTGAAAACCTGTATTACCACATGACATCACAAGGTGGAACAGAGTGTTTTCTGTTTGAGACAAAAACTCCAGGTATGAAACAACATTAAAACATAGATCAGAAAATAGCGCAATCTGAGCCCTTTAAGTACCGTACTACTTTAGGCTTTCTACTTTACCTTTAAACCCTCTTTACATCTCTTACTGTTTTGTTTGCATGTACACATATAGTGGACTAATCTGCAGACAAAAATACACACACTATTCCACATAATTTTTCCCACACGTAGACTATCTTCTTTGCCTATAACTACAGACTGAAGAAGCCAAAACCCAAAACAATCCAGCTAAGCTATTTTAATAATAACCTTTGCATGACACTTTTTCTGAGTCTTTTCTCATACCATCACCGCACGCACATCAAGTCAAGTAGCAGGTGTTGACATGAAGAGAAAGATATGCAAATGTGCGTTGTAAGATCATATATTTATAAAATGACACAAGCAAACACATTTCTGGCAAAGGTTTTAAATGTTTACAAAATATTCATGGCTTTATGCCATTATTTGTTCCAATTCTAACTTATATTCAAATTGCAGTCCTGGTTTATTTACCAGACGCTGTTCAACTCCACTCTTACTGCTAGTAAGATGAGACTCCAGCAAAAAATATATAAAACTGGCTTTTGTATGTTTAAAAATAGATGCACTTTGTAACTTTTCAAGAGTAATTAACATGATTTTAACTCTGAGTTGAGTCGCCCCTCCACAGATCTGTGACTTTGCCTGGTGGTGCCACTTACTGGTCTTTAAACGGACCACATTGCACTATTTTGTGATCTGTGTTATAATGCTGCTGCCTCATCACAAACATACCTGGGGTTGTGTTTTGTTTCTTTCAAACATGTTTAACATTCAAACCCTGCGTATTTAGACTGAGTTTTTCTCTCAAACTGAAAACACTCTGTTTCACCTTGTCATGTCATATGGTAGTACAAATTTCCAATCTCTGCTGAACTAAAGGTAAAAGTCTATTAATGTGAAAACCACTGCCTTCATGACATCACAAGGTGGAGCAGAGCATTTTGAGCTTTGGAGATGTAGACAACTAATAATAAAGGATTACTCAAATATGTGAGAATGAAACGAAACACAATTCCAGGTGTGTTTTTGAGGAGGAAACAGCATTATAACATGACTTAAAGTTCAAAAGAGTCAATTTTGTGTAATATAGAACCTTTAAATACTTTTAGCAGTAGATACAAGCAAAAGAAATATGCAGTGTGCCCTTAAAGGAGCAACACATTTTCTACTAAAATCATTGAGGGATGTTATGAAACGGCAGCAGGTTTGGCGCATGACAACATGATCCAACAGGTTACCTGATAGTTGGCAGGAAGTGAGTGAGCTAACGCTATCAAGTTCAGACGGATACACTTGAATTCACTTAGACTTGTCTAACTCTAATCCATATACACACCTGGTGCCAATGGGGCAGTTTATAGACTGATATGATGCTGATAGGACAAGGCTGTTTCTGCCATGCTTCAGTGAGTTTTAATAGTGGAGAAATAGCCTGGAAATAGCAGGAATTAACCTCAAGTAGAAATAAATGAGATTTCAAGAGTTCAAGGCTTCAGTTTTAGCCCAGATTAAGTGTATTTGATCCAGTTAAATCCAGATTTTGCTCCAGTTTAGTGCTTATTTCGGAAAGGAGTGCCATGTTTGCACACTACTGACTCAGATAACACAAATTTAATAATAGTACAGATACATTGAAAAGATTACACTGCACTGTGGCACAGATACGACTTAGACCAGTGCAATGAAGGTCAGTGGACATTATGTAACACACTCAGGTGATCTTCCATAACAAT